GTCTCCACACCATCGGCTCCACAAGCCTACCTTTATGACATTTTTAACTTGTGTCTAGGTCTTTTTGCCAAGACACAACTTTGCATCAAAGCTATTTTCTTCCGGGAAACTCCTTCCCACGACTTTAGCATGGCACCTTCTGCCATCGATGAGATACACTCTGTTCTCAAGCTTGGATCTCAAGATCCTCCCCATCCTTCATGGGGCACCACATAACTCAGTCCAAATGCTTTTACCAATCCTTCAGGATCATCCCTTGACTCTACTCGAGTCATCTAGCATTTTCGAACTTTGCCAATCTAATGACCCATAAGGTCTTATTTCTGAGGTGCCAGCACATTGGAATACAACTTCGTGTATCCATGTCCTACTCATAAGGACCGTCTTTGCAAGTGTCGCTCTAACACTTTATTATTTTAAATTCTTTGTGGGCTACCTTTGCCCCTTAGGACTACCCGTCCCTATGATGAGAATACTGACTCATCCTTTGAGCACACCCCCAACTCCTTGGGTTTGTTCCAGCATTTATTAGAGGTAGCACTGGCTACCATTTCAAGGACTCATGTCCTCATCCATACTTGACCTTTCACGGTCATCCATTCCGATCTCACCTTTATGAGCACCAACCTCAACTATGTGAGGGTAATTTTGTGACTCCTTTATTGTTTTGGAGTCCCAACTCTTTCCCGTGATCCCAACTATAGTTGTTTACCACAACTACATTAACCCGTTTGCTGCGTCAAATGCTCATCCGGATCACATGATCCCAAAGTCGTTCCCTTACTGGCCCTTTTCCATCCACCACATTGCGCACAAGTTCACGCATGAACTTTGAGTGGAGAGCCATGTCCTCTCGACATGCTACTCCTCGAGGATAGGTCCATACCTAGAACCTTCCAATTCCGATGCAAATGGTGATATACTTAGCCACCAATAAGAGTCGGACTAAGGAACAGCTCTGATACCAAGTTGTAAGCGACTAAATTTTCCATTTTACTTTAGTCACTTAACCACACCTCCAACCACTTGGAAGAGTCTCATTCACAACCTCCATAAGTCCCAGTTAGGACTTGGGGCTTGCTAGCCCCGAGAATGGCATCCTTGCCACTCAACCTTTGCACTTGGTCCAAGTGCTCCACTTGTTTGATCCCATGACCGACACCCCAAGGTACCACCGACATACCAACCCGTTACGCTAGGCCATGCCCATTCACCTTGGTTACACCGGTGGTCTAACGCCACCTGCATCATAATCCTGTCTCTCAAAGACTGGGCCATCCATCCATGAGTGATCATCCCAGATCCACTCCTTAGCATCCCTAGGATGCCCGCAGATATGGGGAATAGCCTTCCCCAACATCTCTTTTCCAGTCCTACCAAGTCCCTTTTCGTCCATGGCTGTGTCCGCCAACACTGCCACTGGATCGAGGCCCGCAGGCCCGACCGCTAAGTCCCACTATCCTTTGGGGCTTCCTCACCATGTGACCGCATTCCTGGTCACTACATTAGAGGCCTACTCCTCTTTCCTTTCACCGTTTGGGACTTTGGGACAACATTTCGGAACACCGTGGCCTTACGCAAGCCTCATGGGTACTCTCCCCGCCTTTCGCCTTTAGGTGCTCTAGCCATGGGCTTAGAGCGAGGTTCCATTGAGCCACGACAGGTATCCAAGTAGGTAGTGCCACCCCCACTTGGACTGGGAGCATCAGCCAGTCGATCTCTCGGGGGAACTAGAGCCGGCTCTTGAACACTTCACCAAACTACCCCACTTGTCGGTCCGTGTTCACTCTAGTCTTGGACTTCCTAATGGGCAGCTCATCACCCAACACTGGGTCCGGCCTTCCTGGGCCAAACTAGCCTTTCCTGGCCAAACTGGCTCCACTACAGTCCTCCCCCTACTATACTTTTGGAGCTCACCAAACCCCCCAAGGTCTGGGAGATGAATGCTTTGGGCTTTTACCCTCTCAAACTCGAACTCGGACTCGGACTCGGACTCGGACTTGGACTCGGACTCGGATTCGGACTTGGGCTCAGGCTCGGTCTCGGCCTCGGCCTCGGTCTCGGTCTCGGTCCCGATCTCGGTCTCGGTCTTGGTCCCGGTCTCGGTCTCGACTTCGGACTCCATCTCGGGTCCATCTCGGACTCCATCTCGGACTCCATCTCGGGTCCATCTCGGACTCCATCTCGGACTCCATCTCGGGTCCATCTCGGGTCCACCTCAGACTCCACCTTGGACTCCACCTCGGACTCCATCTCGGACTCCATCTCGGGTCCATCTCGGACTCCATCTTGGACTCCACTTCAGACTCCAACTCGGGTCCATCTTAGACTCCACTTCGGACTCCACCTCGGACTCCATCTTGGACTCCATCTCGGGTCCATCTCGGACTCCATCTCGGGTCCATCTCGGACTCCATCTTGGGTCCATCTCGGACTCCATCTCGGACTCCACTTCGGACTCCAACTCGGGTCCATCTTGGACTCCACTTCGGACTCTGGGAGACGAACGCTTTGGGCTTTCACCCTCTCAGACTTGAACTGGTACTCGGACTCGGACTCAGACTTAGACTCGGACTCGGACTCGGACTTGGGCTCAGGCTCGGTCTCGGCCTCGGCCTCGGTCTCGGTCTCGATCCCGATCTCGGTCTCAGTCTTGGTCCCGGTCTCGGTCTCGGTCTCGGTCTCGACTTCGGACTCCATCTCGGGTCCATCTCGGACTCCATCTCAAACTCCATCTCGGGTCCATCTCGGACTCCATCTTGGGTCCATCTTGGACTCCATCTCGGATCCATCTCAGACTCCATCTCGGACTCCATTTCGGGTCCATCTCGGGTCCACCTCGGACTCCACCTCTAACTCCATCTCGGACTCCATCTCGGGTCCATCTCGGACTCCATCTCGGACTTCACTTCGGACTCCAACTTGGGTCCATCTTGGACTCCACTTCGGACTCCACCTCGGACTCCATCTCGGACTCCATCTCGGACTCCATCTCGGGTCCATCTCGGACTCCATCTTGGGTCCATCTTGGACTCCATCTCGGACTCCACTTCGGACTCCAACTCGGATCCATCTTGGACTCCACTTCGGACTCCACTTCAGACCCTAACTCGGGTCCATCTCAGACACTTCCACGTGTCATGTGTTGGTCCTTTTGGGTCCCTTTTTGGAGCCTCGCTTATGGCTCGCTTCGTGCTCGTTCCTCGAGCACTTCGTTGAGAGTTTCATTCCCACTCTCGACCTTTTCAAGTCGGAGCTTTTAGTCCAAACGTGTTACGCTCGTTTGGCTTTCGCTTCGGCCACTACCACGTGGCACCCTTTTGGCTCCACTTTGGGGCATAGGGATGTTGTGTCTCACAGTGCACAGCTGATCCGACTACTTCAGCCTAAAGGAATTTTGATAGTCCTGATTCTTGAAAGAAGCACCAAACTGCATTCATGATTGTCATGTTCTTGCGCTTAGAGACTCCATTCTATTGAGGGGTATGAGAGCAAGAGCATTGATGAAGAATTCCTCATTCAACACAAAACTATTGAAAGGACTTGTTGATGTATTCCCCTCCTGAATCAGTATGTAAACAACCAGTTCTTTGGCTTCTGCTACAAATTGCTTGAATTTGCTGAAGACTTCATCTTTGTGACGAAGGAAGAAGACATCCATGTGCCTGGAGAAATCATCAGTAAACATCACAAAATACTTCACACTATTCTGAGCAAACAGTCGCATGGGTCCATAAACATCTGAGTGAATGAGCTACAAGGGACAAGTGCTTCTGATCACAGCAGGTTTGAAAGTACAACAGGTTTGCTTACCAAGAATGCAATACCATTTTGCTGAACTTTGAAGAATGTGGTTGTTAAAGCCATCCACAAGCTCATGCTTCTGCATACGCCTGATGAGAGGGGGATTGGCATGTGCAAGTCGAGCATGCCAAAGAGAACTATCTGCAGTCATGCACATCTCAGGAGCATTCAAATTTTTTCCAGAAGTTATCTCCTTCTTAAACAGGTTACCACATCTAGGAAAATGCAATAATGGACGACCATTTGCAAGAACTTGACATTGATGCTTGGAGAAATTCATATCCAGACATCTTTGGAACATACCACACATTCTTCAAGAGCAGAGACTTTCTTCCCAGTGGAACTCACACATCCCCAGTTGCGCAAATAGGTAAAATGCTTCCATCTCCCACACAAATGCACTTCCCTTTCGCAGCCCGCAACTGCACAAAGTTTGACCGGCTTTGCATTAGGTGTCTCTCTGAACCTGAATCGATGGTCAGTTTTTCAAAAACATTTGGAATTGCTATCTCAGATGATGTTGCTAGTTCCTGTGTTTTTCCTTCCTAAGCATTTGCTGCAAGCCCTATGTTCATGCGCTGCAGCCAAGCTGCAACTGGGCAATCCTTAGAGTAGTGTCTTGGCATCCCACAGGTCCAACATTCCTGTTTGTTCTTGCGCACAAAACAATCTTGAACTACTGCTTCTTTACTAGAATTCCCTGAATTCTGCTGCTGCTGCGGATTTCCCCTAAACCCACGACCTCTGCCTCATCCTCTTCTTCCGCAGCCTCCTCTGCCTCGATGATTTCCAGCCCACAGAGCTGAATCAGTTCCTGACTGATCACTTGATGCAAAAACATTTGATGTAGACTGTGAGAACAAAACATGAGAAGGCCTCTGATCAAAGTCCACAATCAAACCTCTCGCAAACAGCTTCGAGCGTAAAGTTTGCCCAGCTTGTTCAAAGTTGAGCGACATAATGCGAATGGTAGGGACAAAAGAACTAAAAGAAGAATCTTGCATGGCCTCACAAAACGTCAGAATTTTCTTGCTTTCATTGAACGCCACTAGACTGCCTTCAAACTCCATCCACAGGTCTTGCATCTTGGCAAGGAACTTTTCAAAGTTCTTGCCTGGATGAAAACAGGTCTCACGAATGCAAGTCTCGACCATGCTGATCTTGGAGAGGGAAAGAATAGCATACTTGTTGTGAAGATGAGCCCAAATCTCACAAGCACTCTTATGATGCAAACGCATCATAAGGGCATCTGCAAGCTTAGAAAGAATCAATCCTTTTGCTCGAGATTCCTTCTTCTCCAGCACAGCTTGTTCCCAGGATCCTGTTGTCAAGCTGCTGCAATAGAGGCACGAATTGCCTCTTCATCCACGACTTCTCCTTCCACTGAAGTTGAAGCTCCCAACGCAGCAGGGGCTTGCGCATATGGGCATCTGCAGCGATTGTCGGTGGTGAAACGATTTCCCCATCTGCAGCACACGCATCACTTTCTTGGACCAGGTGTTGAACCCTCTCCTCCCATCAAAGGCAGTGACTCCCTGTAGCAAGATCAATCCAACTTTGCTGCAGCTCATGATGTGAGACACAAAGAAAGGAGAAGAAAGAATTCAGAAACTGATCTCTAATACCATGAAAGAAAAGCGGAGCAAGAACAACGGATTTCACTTCAACAGCTGGAACTGGTAAGTTCTTCCACAGGGAGATTCAGAGCTGTGGGCTGGAAGAGGATGTTCCAGTGGCAACTTGCTTGGTGGATTTTTACGGGAGATGTGGAAGCATGGAAGCTGCGAAGATGGTTTTCAACTCGATATCTGCGAGGGATTTGTGCAGCTGGAATGCGCTTCTGAGTGGCTACAGCCAGACGGGGGATTGGAAGCGGAGTTTGGAGATGTTTGAGCGTATGAAGGAGAAGGCAGGAGTCGTCCCCAACGAGATCACGCTCACGCATCTTCTTTCGGCTTGCAATCACGGGGCTGACTCGCAAAGGCAAGGAGTTCCTGGAGGAGATGCAGAACAAGTACGGAGTGATTCCCAACATCATCCACTACAACTGCGTTGTGGATCTTCTGGGGCGGGCGAATTTCCTGAGCGAGGCGCTGAGATTGGTGAATCGAGCCGAATGCGGTGACTTGGACTGCGATTCTTGGGGCGTGTCACAAGTGGAAGAATGTGGAGGTGGGGAAGATCGCGTATGAGAGATTGGTGGAGCTGGATGAGAAGGATCCGACGTCTTACGTGCTCATGGCCAACATCTTTGGAAGCGTGGGAATGGTGGAAGAACGCGATCGGGTTAAGGTTAGGGTTTGTGGGCGATGGTGATTGTGGACGCGAGCGTGTCGGAGCTTGATGCCGTTGTTGAGAAGAAAGGGGAGGCGAGGGGAGGCCGTTGTTGATCCTGTTTGTGGGAGAGATTGTGCCGTCGCTTAGACGCAGCTGGTGCCCAGCTGAAATTTGATTGATTGAATGATTGAATGATTCTGGGATGGATTGAATCAGATTGTGTGCGAGGTGAATCTGTGATCTACGAGGAATTGAGAAGCCGACGACATTGGTGAGGGTGAATGTGAGCGACAAAACAGCATGGCGAGTTTCTGATCATCCTTTGAGGATTGATTCACGGCGTCCACGCTCGTCCGCTGGGAAAGTGGTAAGGTTGTGGATCGATGGGAAGATTACGAGGCTCACTTGCCAGACAAATTCCGTCAGCTTGTAGCTAGCTCGATAAACTAAACGCATCTCACATTTCTGTTATGATTGTGCCCTCATTAAGTCCTAAACTGAAGTTTTATGTAAACTAGGGGTTCTAGGATCTAGCAAATGGCGTCTGCAGCGGCGGCGGCGGCGGCAGCGGCGGCTGGGGCAGTCGCAGTTGTTCTGGTCGAGCCGTATGCGATCTATGGTAGGGAGGTTGCTGCTGCAGAGGTGGAAAATGGCGTGTTGGACGTACCTTCGGGATTTTTGGGCGATGAATCTTTGCATCCGCTGTGGGTTCATCCAAACTACGACCTTCTGGAGGAGTACATTCAACTGATTATGGCCTCCGGAACAGGTACTCCTGTAGATGCAAACAAGGATACAGCACCCAAGAGGCGGAAACGGGTACGGAGGTTCAGTTTTCACCTTGTGGGGACGCCTGGGATTGGGAAGAGCTACTTTGGACATTACTGGTTCTACAAGCAAGCCAAGCTCAAGAACAAGGTGGTGTGGAGGACCAAAGGCGACAATCCACTCTATCTGTGTTACGACTTCTCCTTGGAGGATCCCCTGGTTTCGATGTCACTCGCCTATGTGATTCCACCGGCCTGGGTTATGAAGAGCATCTGGCTGATAATCGACGGTGAATCCAGGGGTGTAGCAGGGCATTACGGCCCTCTCCTTCAGTGCGTCTCCCCAGGCAGGCGTGGCTATCACGAGGGTTCCAAGGACACAGGCATCCTTTGTCACCTTGAAGCTTGGAGCTTGGAAGATTTGAAGGCTTGCAGAGATGAGCTGCAGTTGGAATTCAGTGACCGTGACATCGAGCAGCGCTATGAGATCTGCGGGGGCCTGCCGCGTTTAATCTTGGATGAGCAGATGTCTCTGGCCAAGTTGAAAAGTGATATGGACAACGCGGCGTCAAGAGCTAGTGACTGGAAGGCAGTAATCAGGCATGCAGCTGGGGACGGGGAGAAACGTGCGGACTTGTCACACTATCTGCTGCATTATAAGCTTCCTAACGTGGTGGATTTGAACGAGAGGTACTGTTACAGGGTGACAAAGAAGGAGCTGTGCTTTGGCTCGGAGTATATTGAGCAGATGGTGTGCGATCTTTACGAAGAACAAGGTTTTGAAGCAGTCAAGGATTTCTTCGACTTCTGTCAGGAAATTCCTTCTGCCCAGTCGTTAGCAGGCAAGGTTTTCGAGAGGCACTTCCACAAGACGGTCAGAAGTGGAGGTGGAGAGTTCAAGCTGAGGCCACTCAATGGCCCAAGCTCAAGCTGCTCTCCATCTATTTCTCTTAAGCCACAGCATTTTAGGCGGTTGCGACGCTGGGAAATCACAAGCGACATCCCGGTTGATGAGAGAGGCACCAGTTCGGGGCGGAGGAAGAAAAAGCAGGTGGACAAAGCTGGTTTCAATCTCTACATGGACACAGCTAGCACAGAGGATGCAAGGCGACCAGGGGCAGAGGTAGCCACTGGCCTAGCAAGCCTCCCAGAGGCTTGTTTTGTGGAGCCGTATTCTGCTACTCAGAAGGCTTTCGGCTCACTATTCACTCCCGACATCATCTTCCAGGAGACCATCTCCCGGAATCATAAACTCTTCTGGTCGGCAATATGGGAGGTGGTGCAAGAGTATGATATATGGCATGAGAAGAAGCAGCTGCCCATCCCAAGGCTCTACAAGCTCATCTTCGTGGTTCCTGACTCCAAGTTCGACACTTACAGCTTTCAAGAGTATAAGAAAGATGATGGCGACACGTACGAGCAGGCGCTACCGGTGATGTCTCGAGTTCAGCAGTTTGTCATGGCTTTCCCATGGAAGTAGACACGCAAAGTTCGCTTTTGGTTTTTTTTTTTTTTTTTTTCTTCTCTTTTTTACTTCTTGAGCTCTGGGTAATTGATATGCAACATCACAGCATACCTTGGATTTTGAAAATTTTGCATATTATCGCGGGATCAACCCCGATTCGTCTACAGGGCTGTTCTTGGCGATGGATTTGGAGGGAGTGATTCCGGATCAATCCAGCCTCACGACTATGGCGGAGGCTTGTTCTTCCGCTCGTCGATTCCATCTCAGCGTGATGATCCATCAAGAGATTGTCGCCAGAGGAATGGAGTGGGAGCTGGGTGTTTGCGTGGTGAAGCTGTACGCCAGCTGCGGAATGGTGGAAGCGAGCAGGACACATTTCGAGAGATTGATCCGCGGGGAGATCGCGTTGTGGAGACGCGGTTGAGTGGGAAAACGGAGGAGCTGATGCGGAGGATGCAGGTTGAGGTGTGGTTTTCCAGAGCGTTTTGAGCTGCTGTGCTCATGCCGGATTGGTGGCGGAAGGCGGGGCGTGCTTCCGATCCATGGTTTGCGATCATCAGCTGGAGGCAGGATGCAATCACTACGTTGCCGTTGTGGATCTGCTTGCGCGGGTTGGGGAGATGCGGCAGGCGGAGCAGCTGCTGGAGGCAATGCCCTAGGAGCCGAGCGAGACGGGATGGATGTCGGTGCTTGCGGGATGCAGCAGCCAGGTCGCGGATCAGCTGCAGCGCGGTGTGCGATCGATGTGGAGGAGGAGAAATCCGGGGCTTACGTAGATGTGGCTCCTCCTGTTGCTGCTGCTGCTGCTGCTGCTGGTGGCGCTGATCAACGCGCAGCTATCCAGGCCGGTGGCGAATGACAAGAACATGGAGCAGCAACATTTTTCTGAGCCGCCAGGCGACTAATCTGTGAGTTTTTTTTCCGTCTGGTTTTTGTTCGTTCGTCGGTGTCACGCTTGTTTTTCTTGTTGCAGTGATGAAGAAGCTCTTGCGAACACGCAGTGTCCCAGGCGTGGGGAATTGCGATGGCAGGCGGAGGTATATATTCAGCTCCACTAATAGCAGACATCAATGGGTACGTCTTGTGCATCGCTGTAGTTTTTTGAGTGTTTTGCGTGTGAATCGTTTGCCAATTTGTACAGGGACGGAAAGCTGGATGTTGTTGTGCTGGATGTCCTTGAAGGTGCAGACGGTGAGAAATTGTCAGGTAAGCCAGCCCGAGTTTTTTTTTAATTTTATTTTCCTCTTTCTTTTCGCTACTCAAGGCTGGCCAGCTTTTCATCAAGCGATTGTACATTCGAGTCCTTTAATTTATGACATTGACAAGGATAGATACAAGGAGATTCTTCTCGGAGAGGTTCTTATTTTCCGGTAATTGCTGGATGAAATCCTTGTTCCTCTTCTTCTATTAGTTTCTTAACCCACCGTTGATTGTGGAAACAGTTCGTCGGGTTTTTCGTCGGATGACAAGTTTGTCGTTCCTAAGCTCAGAGTTGGGAAGGATTGGTATGTTGGGCTGGATCCCGATCACGACGACCGGTCTCATCCCGATGTTCACGACGACGGTCTAGCTTCTTCCGTTCCAAGTACGTTATTCAGCTGTCGGTGCAAGTGCAGCATGAACTTGTCTTGTTACTTGCAGTTCCTGACAGGAACATGAACATGTCAACCACTGAACATTCGGAGAGCGCTAGTCATGTCGCAAATTCTTCTGAAACTGCACAGATCAACGCCTCCGCTGATTCCTCTGTCAACGTGAGCAAGCCAGTGGAAGTTAATGTGAGTAGCACAGGAAACGTTTCAGTTACTAGAAAAGTTGTTGACGACACTGAGGAACCTGGAACCGGATTTAACATGGCCGCAGCCAGTTTGAACGAATCGCGAAGTTCTATATCTGCAGTAAGAAAGCTTCTGGATTGGACAGTTATTGGGCCAGAGGTTCGAGCGTTTGACGACGCTTTTCTTGATCGTGGAGACGATGATTTGAGCGATGATGAAATGTCGCGCTGGCCTCTTGACGATAAGGAAGAAGAGTTCGATGAATATTTCATCGACGAAGCTGTTGATGTTGCGAACAAGCCAGTGGAAGCTGATACAGGATACGTCTCAAGTGGTAAGAAAGCTGTTGACGACACTGAGGCAAGTTTGGACGGATCACAAAGTCGGAGAAAGAACTGTTACTGAAGAAGGTGTATTGGAGGAAGCAGCCGCTTCGTTTGACGTTTTCCGTGACCATGGAAACGATGGTTTGAGCGATGAGCGACGTACCTGCGCATGCTTCCGAGCTGGGCAAGGATGTAGACATTGGAAAATATGTTTCTGGGGAGATTGTTGTGTTCAACATGGATACAAAACAAGTCAAGTGGAAACGCATCTGGATCTCAGCACCGATTCCGTGAGCTTTCGAGCGTATATACCCACGGTGGTTGACTTGGACGGGGAAGGCTACCTGAGCATTCTCGTCGGAACCTCTTTTGGATTCGTGTATGCTCTGCATTACAATGGTACGTCTCTCTCTCTCTTTCGCTTGTCGATCGTGACTGAATCTGGATTTCTGTTTTCATCCAGGATCTGTGCGAGCGAACTTTCCTTTACAAATGGGAGAAATTCACGCGCAAGTCGTTGCAGCCGATGTCAATGACGATGGGAAAGTTGAGATTCTGACTGCGGACACTAGAGGAAATGTTGCTGCCTGGGCGCCCACCGGCAAGTTGTTGTGGGAAGTACACCTGAAGAGTTTGGTTGCTCAAGTAAGACTTCGTGTCTTTCAGAACGGTTAGAGGTGTCCGTCTGATGAGCTTTTGTGTGTTTGTTTCAGGCACCAACTGTGGGTGATGTGAACGGCGATGGAAGTAGCAACATTGTTGTTCCAACTGCATCAGGAAACATCTATGTTTTGCGGGGCAGTGACGGCAGTTATGTTCCTCCTTTCCCCTTCCGAACTCATGGCCGGGTCATGTCTTCGGTTCTGCTGCTCGACTTTGGTTCTAGCGAGGACACGGTGCAGACAGGCGGCTTGACTATGGTGACGACGTCCTTTGATGGATACTTGTACATGATTGATGGGAAATCTGGCTGCGCTGACACGATCGATATTGGAGAGAAATCGTAAGTACTCTTTTGGTGTTATGAATTCGGTTTTCAGTTTCTGATGCGTCTTGCTATTTGCAGATACACAATGGTCTTAGCTGACGGGGGAGATGACCTTGATCTGATCGTTACAACAACGAACAGAAACATTTACTGCTTTCAGACACGATACTTTTTGTTTCTGAGCTGCTTCTGAATTGTTCCTCTGCAGGCATGACCAATGCTAGCTAACTCACGGAAGGAACGTGTCGTCACGCTATAACCGCGAAGGCATCTACGCTTTGCCATCCTCCAGAGCGTTTCGGGACGAAGCAGGCAGCAGGTTCTGGGTCATCTTCAAGATCGTGGATCAGCATAGCTTGCAAGGACCTTACAATGTGACTGTAAGCTTTTTCAATCGCTTTGAACTTCCTCCTTGCTGAGAACACAGGAATTTGTGTTGTTTGCAGGTAACACTACTTGTTCCCGGCAATTTTCAAGGGCCTAGACAGACGAGACAGTCTCAGATCTACGATCAACCAGGGGTGCAGAAGCTTCAGCTTCCTTGCGCTTCCTCACGATCGACGGGAACAGTCAGGCTGGAAATGGTGGACAAGAATGGCTTCTACTTCGCGGGATCAGTTTTCCCTCACGTTTCATATGCATTACTATCGTCTTCTCAAGTGGTTCGTTTTGTTTCCGATGCTCGGCATGCTTACTGCAGTCCTTGGGCTGCATTCCAAGGATCAAACTGCTCTTCCTTATCTTGAAAATAAAACACGAAAAGTCTTGAGAATGTCCTTCGACAATATTCTTGGCTCCAGTTGGAGGTCGAGGGCTAGGGTTTAGCGCTACGGGAGCTTAGCTGATGGCGCGTTGGCTATACGGATTGAGGTGCGTGTGTTCTAACAGGAATCGATGGTAGGATTTACTGTATTTCACTGTAGAAACTGTGAGCTGTCCTCCCAACTTGCACAACAAGGAATCGAGGGAGAAAAAAAGAAAGATGTCCTGGATGCCCTGCACAGCGCTTCAGATGATGATCCAGTACTTGTGTTTTTCTGGAACCAGGATGCACTTGATCAGACAGGTGTGGCTAATGCCAAGCAAGTTTTGCTGACTGCACTCAGAGGTAACTTTGAATTCAGTATTCTGTTTTTTGTTTTTTTTGTTTTTCTTGTTTAAGTTAGTGATTATTTATTTGTACAGGTGTGGTGCCCACGGTCACACGTTCTGTTCATTTCCCGGATGAGGTTTTCAATCTCGAGCATCTGAACGACTTCTACACGATGAGGGACGAGGTTATAATGCGCAGGGTATGGGCGAGAGGAGATGTTCCAGGAGCACCCCCAATATTTAATCGACCAATAATAGCTCGTACGTTACTTATAACCGACACGAAGAAAAAAATACCAACCTTCTCCGATGTTGGGTTATTCACATGAAAACACATATAGTTAATTAAATGCATTTTAACACTAAAACAATTTAATGAATTATTTTTCAAAAAATGTATATATATATATAGAATACAGTAAATTAATATAATCTACCAGAATTACGACAGAATCATTGTGTGGTTGCCTGATCATGGCCGGAGCAGGTGTAGATTTGTTTCAGAGCATGCCGCGGGAGTCTGCTGGAGGCCCAGCGTTTGTACAACGACATGCCGCAGCACAATCTGGTTTCGTGCGTCGGGATGCTGGCGGTGTACAAATGTAGAAAACTTTTCGACGGCATGCCGCAGCAGAGCGTGTTTTCATGGTGGCTGTTTATGTACAGAACGGGATGATCAACGAGGCAAAGGTTTTGTTTGAGAGAATGCCTGTGTGGGATACAGTGTCCAGGAATGTGATCCTCGGGGGATATGCCCGCGGCGGGCAGCTGAACTAGGCGAAGCGGGCTTTTGAGGCGATGGAAGTCAGGAACCTGGTGTCGTTCAATACCATGCTAGCTACGTACTCCCAGAAGGGATTTGTCGAGGAGGCCAAGTATCTATTCGATACGATGACGAGCCGTAACCTTGTGTCGTGGAACTCGATGCTCGGTGCAAATGCTGAGAATGGGCTTGTTGAGGAGTAAGTTTTTGGTGATGAGATGCCGGCGCAGGACATGATATCCTGGAACACGCTTCTGGCTGGTTTCGCTGACAACGGGTGGCTGTTTGAAGCGAAGGTACTGTTTCTTTCGATGCTGGAACGGGATGTCGTTTCCTGGAACGCTATGCTCTGGGCTTACGCTTGCAAAGGACTTGTAGCAATGGCGAGGAGGTTGTTTGACGAGATGCCGCAACCGAGCGTCGTTTCCTGGAACTCCATGCTTGTTGCTTATGCTCAGAGAGGATGTTTGGCGGACGTCGAAGAGCTGTTTCGAGCAGTGGGGATGGAAGGGGTTGTGGCAAATGACACTAGTTTTCATTGTTTGATCATCGGCTGCACTCACGCTGGGAGTATGTTTGTTGGTCGGGATTTGTTCTGTGCGTTGAGACGAGACTTTGGCATGAAGCCGAGCAGGCTTCATTACGGTTGCATGGTGGATGTGTTTGCCAAGGCTGGACATTTTGAGGGTGCTCGGGAACTTACACTAGCATGCTTTTCTCCCCTGATATTGTCAACTGCCAGTGTCTGCTTGGAACTTATAAGACTCAATCTTTTGGAGGCTCGGAGGAAGAGGAGGATGTTGCTAGATCTGCTTTTCAGTCAGATCCGGAGCACCCAACAAAAGTATTTATTCAGCAGCGTAGGAAATAGAAAGTGTCATAAACCAAGTTTAGCTTAAATTTAAAACTTGGAATTTAGAATTAATAGCATTCTAACTAAATGTTGTATTAACAAGACAGCTTAGATTTAAGTTCTCGCTTTAAAGTTTTCTAATAAAAGTTCATTAAAATTTTATGAAAAATATTTACTTTTAAACAAATTCGTGGCACTGTGGCCAACACCCATAATGATTTTTTATAACACTCTAACACAGTGATTTATTTTCTGTTTGTTCATATGATTAAATTTTGGACATTATCCATTTTTGTTAAGATCTTTTGAACTTTTGGAATAAAATTATTCATTTTAGGATGAAGTATAAAAATAAATAAAGTGGAGTGTATATATTAGAAGCTTGAAGTAATTGTCTAATGTTCCTTTGAATCTAATTTACACACTTTAATCCTCACTAATTAAAAGATCAAAAGAGCCATGAAACTCAAATAAACCTGATGTAGGCTTCAAGTTGAGTCATGTATGCTGATGCTTAAAAACCCGGCAAATGCATCAAGAATCCAGATGAACGGAAAAGGAAAGCTGTGATAATCCGGATTGATGGTTAAGATTCATCAACACAACAGTGGTAACCTCACATGCACATTGTCTGCTCCTATTTCTCTATTTTTTATGCTCAAAAGATTGCAAATGCACAGTAGCCTTTGTAATGGCTGAGGATCACCAGAGTCCATATTCGCTTAAACCGGCTTGGGTTAACAACTTTGCCACAATAATTGTACACATTGAAACTCCTTTGTCTGCTTCAATCAATCATCGTAGTTTTCCGGTTTTGTTTGCAATATTTCGAGCGGTGCGTTTGTGATTGCAACAACAGCGACAAAAATCAGTCAATCACCACTGTTTCGACAAAATGAAAGCTCCTTCATCCACCCAATTAGGTCAGAGATTCATGGGGCCTCGAGAAGAGCACAAAACACTTCAATCGAAACCTTGGAAAGGGGGTCAGCCCAACACTCTTATTGATGAATGCAGATATAGCATGGGAATTCGCCGGAGAGTGGCCAAGGAGTTTGGATCAACTCCAAACAATCACAGAAGACTGGGAAGACAAGCAGCTCTAGACATGGTGGTGACACCACAGTGACAATAGCTGCCGAGTTCTTGGTTTTATGGAGTTTCTCTTGGGGATGGATGGAGCAGTCGCATGGAAGACGCAGTGCTCCATGGTTCGTGTAACGGAACAAGATCCCGAGAGTATGGAATCGTTTTTGCGTGGAACATGAGCGATACTGAGGTTGAATCAAAACTGGAAGCCGTGGCAGCAGTTTGTGTACCTGCTAGAGGCAAAGAAGGATTGGAATCACTACCAGGATTGGGCTCGGCAATTGCTAGAAGATGATGTCTTTGCAACAGTGATACAAGCAAGCATAAAACACAAACTTTCAGCTAAAGTTCTTTCCTTTCAAAAAGTGACAAAACTTTTTTTTGTTCTCTCAAAAGAGACCTATTTATTTTAGGGTTTCTATGTTCTTCGATCTTAACGTTTGCGGCGATGGCGGCAATGAGCAGCCGAGGCGGGAGGCGCTGGCCATGGCATTGCAGCTGGGATACACCGGCGTCGCCATTCCTCACATTGTCAAGGCCGTGATGCACGAGTCGGATCGCTGCAAGCTGCGGCCAATCAAGCCCGATGTGCTCCTCGCCGCATTGCCTGGGGTTTGTGAGTCTACGAAGTTCCATCGCCGCCTCCTGGGAGTCTCCAACAAGATCCCATTCCGGCAGTACTCGAGAATCAGCGTCGTGGTGGTGGATCAAGTGCAAGCGGCGGCTCTCAATCCTTCCAATCCCGTGCTTCAGTCGTATGATGTGGTTGCTGTCCAGCCGATGAGCCAGCAATCGTTTGCTCAAGCTTGCACGACCATGGAGGTAAGAATGAGAACTTTCGACCTTTCTTCTATTTTTTTTTGTCTCTTGGATCGTGATTCTTTTTTTCCAGGTTGATGTGATAAGCTTGAATTTGTCCCAGAAGTTGTCTTTCAGGATCAAATCTTCTGCCTTGACAGATGCGGCTATAGAGGTGAGATAGTTTTTCCATTTCCTAGCTTTAGTCCTTTGAAGAACTCACGTTGCCTTTTCTAACAGCGAGGAGTTTTCTTTGAGATCGTGTATGCCCCCGCTCTGGATGATCCAAACGCAAGAAAAGAGCTGTTCATAAACACTCAAGTAAGGAGTGTGTGTTTTTTTCTCTTCTCATTCTGGCATCATCTCGATATCCAGACGCTCGTGACTATGACACGCGGTCGTAACATCATCTTAAGCAGTGGTGCCCGAAACGCTTGCGAGATCCGGGGACCCAACGACGCGGCAAACCTGGCAACGCTGTTCGGGCTTACGATGGACCAGGCAAGAGCTGCCATCTCCAAAAACTGCAAGTAAGTAGTGTCTCCCTCTTGTTTTCAACTTTTCTTTGCTTCACAAACTTCATTTCAACAACACAGCTCGGTACTTTTGCACGGATACACAAGGAAAAACACGTACAAGGCAGCCATCACTATTGAGACGGTGGAAAAGCCACTGTTTGACGTACCAAACGTCTGGGATCCTCTGGTAACCGAGGAGGACTGTGTACTTCCGGAGGCCGTGGTATCCAAGGTGGAGGAGGACTGTGTTCTACCGGAGGCCGAGGTATCCAAGGTGAAGGACTGTGTTCTTCCGGAGGCCGAGGTATCCAAGGTGAAGGACTGTGTTCTTCCGGAGGCCGAAGTATCGAAGGTGGAGGAGGACTGTGTTCTTCCGGAGGCCGAGCTATCCAAGTTGGAGGAGGTTGTGGTGGATCAATCCTCTGCCGAAAAACAACCGTTCAAGAAGCGAAAGAGGTACAACACTCGCCAGAGCCTCAAAAGCATTTCTCTCTCGATCATTGCGGCAATGAATGGGGATGGCTCTAGGACTCACCAGAACGGGTAATAGTTTTTTCCATTTAATGAAACATTTGATCCTTGTGTCCTGCCACTAAGAAGGTTTGTTGTTGACGAGCCGCCTTTTTTTCCATCACTTCAGGGTTTTGACTAGGAGAAGTTTTCGTTCTCGACGCTTTTGGGAATGAAGGTGGAGGTGGAAGAGATCTGCTTGGTTCCTCCGGAGATCAACAAGCCCGGCAAGGCTCTTCTCTCGCCGTTAGCTCACTTCGCCTGGGAGGTACAGTATCGCACTCGGTTTCTCTTTTTCGAGCGTCCTTCAGTCAAGGAAGGTGCTTGTTTTGATGCGCTAATAGTGAGGCTCAAGGCCGGCCTTCGCAAAGCACTGGGGGCCTTCTATCTTGTCGGAGGACGTCTCGTTGTCCGAGAAGATGATCTCATGGAGGTGGACTGTAACGGCGACGGCATCATGTTTATCAGAGCCAGCTCCGACGTTGGGCTCGGGGATCTGAGCTACAGCGATGGTGATTTCCAGCTTCCTGACGAGGATCTATCGAGCTTGGCGCAGACTGCCGGGCATGTTCTCAACTGGCCCTGGCCTTCAGACGCCCCTCTCCTCTTCATCCAGGTACCAAATTTCCATTTTTCCATCACCAGGGAAAAACTCTTTTCCTTTTGCTTTGCAGGCTACTCGATTCTCTTGCGGTGGTCTGTGCATCTCGATCAAGTTTAATCACCAGGTGATGGATGGGACGAGTGCATGGCACTTCTGGAAATCCTGGGCGGAAGTTTGCCGTGGACAAGAGATATCACTGTTACCAGTCTGGAGCGACCAGCCGATCAAAGTTCTTCCTCCTCGTCCGACACTTGACAAGCTCGAGATTCCACACTACTTGAGGCGGGCTCCAAAGCAAGCAGTGCTGTCTGCCACACTAGAAGATCCAACAAAGTATAGCAACAGATGCTTCGTGTTCAAGGCGGAAGTTCTCGCAAGGCTCAAGGAAAAAGATCCCGGATTTACAACCTTCCAGCTCCTGACGGCTCACTTGTGGGAGAAGATCACTGTCGCTCGCCAGCTTCATGGGTCCACAGCCATGTTCTTTGCGGTGAATTGCCGCAAGAGGTTCCGGTGGCTGGATCCGGGTTACGGAGGCCAGGGCGCTCTCATTATCGGCACTACTCCACTGCCAGCTTCTCAAGTAGGCCGTGATGGACTGGCACTGCTTAGAAAAACGATCCAGGAATTCACTGAACAGCAGGCTACGCGATTCTGCGAGCTCGTGGAGATGCTTGCGTCGGACGAGCAGCACCGAATTGGCTTGACTTTAACCAAGAATGACGTGATTGTGGGGAGCTCGTTCTACTTCCCGGTGTACGAGGACTTTGGATTCGGCAAGCCGGTGGGGATGGCAGCTGTGGCGGTCCCAAACGATGGGAGGATGTACTACTTCCCAGGGAGAGACGAGGGCAGCGTTGCTGCGTATGTGTCTTTGAGAGACGATGCTATGGACAGACTCTTGGGCGATTCCACGCTCATGAATCCTTGACAAAGTTATAAACAAGTTGGTATTTGGGATGAAAGAGATTATTCTTTAGAGTCATCCTAAACCATGCTAAATACATGAGTTGGCATTTTGGAAATTTAGTGACTTCAAGAGAGACTAACCATATTGTTTTTTCTTGGTTTGCTTAAGGGGGATGATAGTGAATATACCTAGGATATATTTGGATATTTTAGGATATTTAACCATCTAACGATTGTTATTTATTTAGATTAATGTTGTATTTATAATTTATAAAAATGCTTATAATTTATAAACTTTTTAAAACCCTTTTTCATATATTCTTTTTAATTCTATCATCTAATGATTGATATGCAATAAGATTAATCTTGTGTTTATAAATTACAAACTTTATTTGATCAATTGGATTAATAAGTAAGAATAACACTAATTAACATGAGAATAAATCTTAGGAACAATAACATATAAATTCACTTTATCTATTTCAAATGGAGTTTTATAGTCCCAATACTGGGATCCTTATTTAAACAGAAAGACATTTTCTTCAAGTCAAAACTTTTGACTAATTATATAAACTATTTAAAAATATATTGAGGAAGCTAACATTCTACAGTTTGATGTACATTTGTCCTTCAAACATATAAGTTCATCATTTGGTTAGTTACTAATAACAGTGTGTTGAGCATAACTTTATAATTAATATTAGTGATAATAAAAAATAGTATTTGTAAGCCACTAATATTACTGTGCCACTAGAATGTTGTGTCTTTAGAAATACCACATCAAAGAATGTCATGTTAAGAAGACCAAATACACAATAAATTTAATTGTTTTAACTTTTGTCATTCATAGTTGTTATACTAGAAAGTTGTATAAATCTAATTATAATTTGACAATTACTTTTCTAAAATCAGTTTCTATAATTTTTTCTCTTCCATGGTAGCTTTATTAATTTCATAACAAATTCTAATAACTCAAAATTATCAACAAATTTTTTTATAGTTATAAAAAGTTGATTTTTTTTCTTAGTAAGGGAACTAGGATGGTAGTGGATATACTTAAAATATTCTTGGATATTCTAGGATATTCTAGGATATTCTACCATCTATTGGTTGTTATTCATTTAGATTAATCTTGTATTCATAATTTATGCACATGTTTATAATTTATAAACTTTCCAAAACACTTCCTAGTATATTTAAGTTTATTTTATTGAATATTTTTAATATATTTTAAGCATGTTTATAATTATAAACTTCAATTGGATTAATAAATTAAAATTAAAATTATTTTAAGTACCTCTAAAAAGTAATCCCTTACAGCAAAAATTTGAAGTCAATTCCTAGCGTGTTTAGGCAAAACTGGGCAGTAATGAATATACCTAAAATATAATTGGATATTCTAGGATATTCTAACATCTAAAGGTTGCTATTTATTTAGATTAATTTTTTATTTATAATTTATAAAGATGTTTATAATTTTTAAACTTTCCTACACACTTTTTAATATTTTTAGTTTATTTTACCTGATATTCAATAAAATTAATTTTGTGTTTATAAATTATAAACATGTTTATAATTATAAACTTCCATTGATTAATTGGATTAATAAATAGAAATAACACTACTATTAAGCAAACAAAACGTTGTTGCACGCAATATTAAGCAAGTCCTATCTTAATTTGCAAGCATGTTTGCAAACATAATGTAGCTTGACCCATCATTCATTTTAGATTGGATGAGATGATGAACAGCTGTTTCAGCGGATCCAATATCACTTTGGTATCTACAAGCAGCAAGAAAACACCTCCAATCTAGAATATGTGGAGTGTAAGGCATGTTGTGTATGAGGTCTTTGGCTTGCTCAAGCTCAGATGAACGAGCTAGCACATCGATCATGCAACTAAAATGCTCAAAACTGGGTGTCACACCATAGTCTAGAGTTAAAGATCTAAAGCAACTATATACACTCTCCAGCTTTCCTAAAGCGCTATAAGCGATTAGTACCGATGCGAACACAGAAGAGCTACATCTATCAACCATGTTTGCATTGTAATATGTACTCAATGCATCTCGAGGTGTTGCGTTTTGCGTAAAGGCAGCCACCATAGATGTCCATGACACTGTGTCACTCACAGGCATTTCATCAAACAATCTCTTTGATAGTTGCAAGTTTCCATTCTGGGCATACGCAGCAAGCAGGGTAGTCCATGAAAATTCATCTTTGCGCTCCATTTGATCGAACAAATCCTTGCATTGGGTTAAATCTCCTTGCTGTGCATATGCACTGAGTAAGGCATTCCAGCAAACTAGATCCTTGAAAGGCATCGAATCAAACACGAACTTAGCTTCCTCGAGATGACCCTTTCGGGCATAAGCCACAAGCATGGAACTCCACGTTGCAAGATCAAGCATGGGCATCTGGGATAGAAGTCTTTGCAAGCCTTCAAAATCAGCTTTGGATGAGAACAGATTCAGCATTTCTGTGGACGAAGCTAGATCCCAATGAGGCATTTTGTTGTAGAGAGTTTCAGCCTCCAGCTTATTCCCAGTGCGGGAGTATACGCTCAACAAGGTAGTCCATGAAACAATGTCCTGTTCCGGCATCGATTCAAAGACTTTGCAAGCTTGAACTTCGCTGCCACCATTCACGTATGCATGCAGCAGCGAGTTCCAAGACAATAGATTCGTCGCCGGCATACGTGCAAAGAATCGCTTCGTGTCACCAAGATGCCCGCCATTGGCATATGCAGACAACATTGCATTCAAGGATACCAAGTTGTATTCTGGCATATAGTTAAACGAGTTCTTAGCTTCCTGAAAATTACCGCACTGGGAATAAGCGTAAATCATGCAAGTCCATGAAACAATGTCTCTCTGCGGCATGGAACCAAACAACAGCCTAGATTCCTCCAGATACCCGTTCTGGGCATATCCCGAGATCATGGCATTACAGGAAACCAAATCCTTCTCTGGAATCGAATCAAAAATCTTCTTGGCTTGGGAAAGATCGCCCTCCCGGGCATAGGCGTCGAGAAGAACAGTGCAAGAGATTCGATTCCTGTGTGGCATTGCGTCGAAAATGCGCTGCGCTTGCTTGATATGCCCATTCCGGGCATAGGCGAGGAGGAGGAGATCCCAGGAGAAGGCATTCTTCGTGGGAATCTCATCGAAGACGCTCCGGGCGTGCTCCACGCTGCCACAGGCAGCGTACATCTCGATGAGCTTGTTGAGGAGGTAGACATCGTCGTCGCGATACAAGCTGGATTGGATCAATCGCTGGTGGAGATCTAGCGCCGCGGAGAGATTGCCGCAAGACTGGATCAAATGCAAGCAGTGGTCGCGATTGTCCATTGCTTCTGAATCGTGGGCAGATCTTAGATTTCTCGAGGATAGAAACTTCCAAGCTTTGGCAAGAGAACAAATCGATCTTCCTCTTCATTTAACCAGGGCATGGTTGTAGTCGTGGAAGTGATAGTTCTTGCGGATAAAGCGAGCTGTATATCTCGAAGCTATCCACAAGAACACTCCCAAGATCCCCCACCAAGAACGGCGAATCGACGCTACTGCCACTGTGGCTATCGCCGCGATTTGCAACCCCAGCTCGGCCAGCTTGAAGGATCTCAAGGCCGCCATGCAAGTCGGGCATCTCTTGACGTGGTTCTCATACCTGGTGGTGATCGCAAGCTTTGAGAAAATCCAGGAAAGAACGAGGGAGTACCTGTCCATGAGCTGCGGCTTTGGAGGAGATGATGGAAGCTTTCGATCAATGTGTGGAGCGTAGCCTGGAGCTCCACCCGCGTAAACGCTGAGCCATCTTCGAAATCCCAGAACGAATGCATCGGCCGATGTTGGTGTGAACTCTCTTTCGTTTCGCTCTTGCTTTTGCTCCTGGAGGATGAAAGGATTCCAAGAGTTCGATCATCGATCGATTGCATGGAGGAAGCAGCGAAGACTTACCATGATATGGAGAAGATAGAGATCCGAGTCGAGAACCAGCATGTGTCGAAGGTGAGCGAGCCATCTCGGGGTGTAAAAGTGGATGGATTTTGCGAAGTTCCTCGGGAAGGACCAGAAGGCTTTGCTTCTGCCCGGAAGAACGGGCACACACATGAACACGGTGTATGTGATCTTGTCCGACTCTTCCTGCATTGAGCAATCCAGAGATTCTTAGAAACCAGCTTGCTCGAAAGCTTGCTAAGAACCTTTTGCTTGGGTGGTATTCTTATCTCCATCACAAACGAGAGAGGCGGCATGAAAACTACGTCCCCTCGTCCTGTGCTACCTTTGAAACCATGCCGATCGAATTTGTTCACGGTGTAGCTCACTGGCCCGGTTTTGTTTCTATTCCCCTGATCGAGAAAACTATCAGTGAAAAGAACAAGATGAAACATACTTGGAGCTTGTGATGCGCGAATGGAACGTGTGTAGGATCCATGAGGTTCTCTATCAATGCCTCGTACCTTGGAAGAGCATAAGAACTTTGGTGAGAATCTCGAGACCTTTGCTTTTACCCGTAGGGAACATCACTCGTAGCCCAGTAGTGAACAAAATCAGCGTCCTCGAGAACTGGAAAGAAAGGTGGCTTGATCTGCGAAGACGCGCTAGCGCTGAAGTTCATCCACAAAATCCCCTGCTGCTCCATGCTAGGATAGACCGTCGCACAAGCGCGAGGCGATCTAGCAGCCTGGAAAGATAAAAAAGAAGTTTTTGATCATCCAAGAACTTTGGAGAGAAGCACGTCCAAGAACTAAACTTTGGAGAGAAAAAAACATCCAAGAACTTTGGAAAGAAACAATCTTACACTTAAGTCTCCAGGCTGGGCTTGAGGGATCCGAGAGCACGATCCAGTTCCTGGAGCAAACATCCATCCGTGGTAACTGCATTGGATGTGACCATTCTCCGCGATTCTTCCCTCGGACAATGGAGCTAGCCTGTGCGGGCACTTGTCACTGAAAACTTGCCAGTTCTTCCCGTTCCTATCCCACCACACAACCAATTCATTTCCAAGAATCGTGACAGCGTGAGGAACTCCCTTGTCTAGTTCTTGCTCGATCGCTACCGGGTACCACTCGCTGTTCCAATCGAACCATGTCGAGCGCTTGGTTTGCTCTAGAGCTTCTTCTTTCTCCCTAGACGAAGTGGCTCTCGTGACTACAGCTATGTGCCTTGGATGCGCTACTCTACCTTTTCTCGTGGTTCTTCTAGAGAATGCGAGTGGGACGCTATGGTTGCTGGTCGCCCACAAGGATTTCCATGGGCTCTGCCATGTAATATCTGGAGCTAGAACCTCGAGAATCGCCATTGAAACGTTATCTATAGTATAGACCAAGAACACCAAAGTATGATCTTGGGTGATTTTATCGTTGGACTGGCCGGTAAGCTTAGACCTAGACAAATTAATAAGCTCTCACGCCAAAGATGATGAGCTCCAAAGGGTTTTCTTTGCTTGGAGATGGAAGGCTTTGGTGCCAAGAGTGTCGAAGAACTGGATGTGGGCGATCTCGAGAGCGCGGGGCTAGAACCATCCGAGGCTCTGCACTTCTACCAGGAGCTCCAGGTAGCGTTGCAAAGGGCAGGATTTGGAAAACTCGAGTCGATATGGAGGCTTGTATCTCAAAGTTTGCTCACGCCTCGACATCCTCACGCACTCCATCAGCTCATGTACTACTCGATCTACAAGAATTGGGACGAGTTGCAATGCGGTCCACCACCGTATTGGTTTCCATCGCTGTATAAGTTTTCTTGCATTTTTTTTCTTCTTTGATCGCTCAAAGTTACAGGGAGTTCGCAAGGAGTACGAGCATTGGACAGCTCCTCGAGGCTCGTGGAAACGAACTTCTCGGCAATAAGGCATACGTTGATCCAATCGCGAGCTTTACAAACTTCTACAAGTTCTCGGTTCAGCATCCGGAGGTGAAAAAACCATTTCTTTCTCGTTCCTCCATAGCTCTAAACTTTTCATTCCAACTTCTCAGATTTTCTGGTCCATTGCGTTTGAGAAGCTGAGCTTGCATTTTTCTGTGGAACCCAAACAAATGGTGGACTCGAGTGATTCGTCACGTCCAGCAGGAAAATGGCTACCCGGTGCTGTCTTGAACATTGCTCAGTGTTGCTTGCTACCAAAGCCGAGTATCGGAAAGACGGACGATAGTATCGCCATTATATGGAGAGACGAAGGTGGAGATGATTTGCCTCCCAGCACAATGAAACTCTCGGAGCTTCGGCACCATGTCAGGTGAATTTAAGTTCCATTCATCCATAGTTTACTAGGAACTTACGTTCTTCCTTTCTTTCGTTTTCTTTTTTCTCTTGCAGCCGAGTGGCATTCTCGCTTCAAGCTGCCGGTTTCCAAAGAGGAGATCGAATCGCCATCGACATGCCAATGCACATCCACGCTGTTATCATCTACTTGGCCATAATTCTCGCGGGCTGCGTGGTAGTGTCAATAGCTGACAGCTTTGTTTCCTCGGAGATCGCTGCTCGCCTGGCGATCTCCAAAGCAAAGGGGATCTTCACTCAGGTGATTTCCAAAACTTTCACGTTTTCAGCTGTTACCAGAGCTTCTACAGGATGTGATAGTGAGAGGTGGTAAAGCAATCCCGTTGTACAGGTAAAGAGCAAAGTCATATCTTTCAGGTTTTGCGTGATCCAGTTTTCTATGAAGTCGAGTTCTGGGAGCTAAACCACCAAAGGCAGTCGTCCTTCCATCGGATGGAAAATCAGTGCGCGTTCCAATCAGAAACCAAGACGTTTCTTGGGAGGAGTTCTTTGCAAATGGAAACGGCACAAACAGGTACAGGGAAACTATCGAAAACCTTGGAGCATTGTCACTCAGATTCATTTGCAGATCTGGAGACGAGTTCCCAGCTGTGCAATTACCCGTCGAGTCATGGACAAACATACTCTTCTCTTCAGGCACTACAGGTCTGAATGAAAAAACTCTCCAAACTCTACAAAGTTGGTGTTGTTTTCTTTTCTGAGATTCGTGCTTCCATTCAGCCGAGCCAAAAGCAATCCCGTGGAACCAGACAACTCCCATGAGATGTGCTGCCGATTCATGGGCACACTTCGATCTCCAAGCTGGTGATATTTACTGCTGGCCAACGAATCTGGGATGGATGGTGGGACCTTATATTATCTCTGCTTGTCTACTCTCTGGAGCAACAATGGCACTTTACAACGGGTCTCCTCTCGGACGATCTTTCGGAAGGTTTGTCCAGGTGAAAAAAATCGTTTTTTATCTTCTTTCTTGAGATGTTTCTGCACAGGATGCAAGAGTTACGATTCTGGGAACCGTGCCGAGCATGGTAAAAACTTGGAAGAAGGTCAACTGCATGGATTCACTCGACTGGTCGAGTATCAGGTAATCTATAGGATGACCGAGAGAGTTTGTGCAACTCTTTAAAAAATTTGTTTTTTGCGGCAGATCGTTCGGAACAACTGGTGAGGCTTCTAGTATCGATGACGATCTGTGGCTCAGCGCAAGAGCTTGGTATAAACCAATTCTAGAGTGTTGTGGTGGAACCGAGCTTGGCTCTGCTTTCCTTCACGGATCACTGCTCCAACCGCAGGCCTTCGCAGCTTTCAGCACTCCGAGCTTGACAACGGCCTTTGTTCTTCTTGATGATTCCGGAAGACCATACGTAAGCTTTCATTCCGTTTGTAAATCGATCAGCATAAACGTTTGGAAAACTTTCCAGCCAGATGACCAGCCTTGCTCTGGAGAGATTGCTCTCTTCCCCAAGCTTCTTGGAGCTTCATACACGCTGTTAAACGCTGATCATCACAAAGTCTACTTCGAAGGCATGCCTGTGATCAATGGGATTGTAAGTACTTTTCAGAAGATTTATCATCGTGAAGTTCCTGAAGTTCTTCGCGTGTCTAGCAACTTCGGAGGCATGGCGACGTGTTTGAGCGAATGGCCGGAGGCTTCTACAAAGCTAAAGGTCGAGCAGACGATACTATGAACCTTGGAGGCGTCAAAGTAGGAAAAAAGAGTCTGTTTTGTTTCGTTTTTCTCCAGGTTCTCTGGTTGATGATCGACTGTTCTTATGACGCAGGTGAGTTCTGTGGAGATCGAGCGAGTTTGCAATACCGCGCACAGCAGCGTTCTTGAGACCGCAGCCATAGCCATGCCTCAAGGAAAAGGCGGCGGCCCCGACAACTTGATCGTCGCTGCGGTTCTCAAAGGTGCTCTTCCACCAGGTGAAAATCACCCAGAAATGCTCAAGAGGATCTTCTCGAAGGCTCTCCATGACAACTTAAATCCTTTGTTCAAGGTGAGTGAGCACATAAAAAAAAAAAAAAAGTTCCTTGCGTAAAATTTGATTATTTTTTATTTTTTATTTTGTTTGAAAGGTCCATGCGGTGGTTCTTCTTCCGGAATTTCCTCGCACAGCGTCAAACAAAATCATGCGAAGAGTCCTTCGAGCACAAATGGCGCGCAGCAAACTCTGAGATTTTCCTGCTGGTGGATTTGTTCCAAAAAACCACATTTTTACCATCAAAAGCAAAATTTTTTCATTCACAAGGATATGGCATTACCATCAAAACCAGTTTTTTTATCATTCACAAAGATATAGTTACATTGAGGAACATGTAAATGTTCTTGGCATGATATCCGGTTTCTAATGAACGATGACAGAGAAGAAGAACAAGCGTTATGAGCGCTTAGAAAGTGCTGTAAACTTTCAAGTTCGTGAGGATGTTGTTTGCGAATGGATCCGCAAGATGATCGAGTATAATTATTAAGCTCTCGCCAAAGATGATGAGCTCCAAAGGGTTTTCTTTGCTTGGAGATGGAAGGCTTTGGTGCCAAGAGTGTCGAAGAACTGGATGTGGGCGATCTCGAGAGCGCGGGGCTAGAACCATCCGAGGCTCTACACTTCTACCAGGAGCTCCAGGTAGCGTTGCAAAGGGCAGGATTTGGAAAACTCGAGTCGATATGGAGGCTTGTATCTCAAAGTTTGCTCACGCCTCGACATCCTCACGCACTCCATCAGCTCATGTACTACTCGATCTACAAGAATTGGGACGAGTTGCAATGCGGTCCACCACCGTATTGGTTTCCATCGCTGTATAAGTTTTCTTGCATTTTTTTTCTTTTTTGATCGCTCAAAGTTACAGGGAGATCGCAAGGAGTACGAGCATTGGACAGCTCCTCGAGGCTCGTGGAAACGAACTTCTCGGCAATAAGGCACACGTTGATCCAATCGCGAGCTTTACAAACTTCTACAAGTTCTCGGTTCAGCATCCGGAGGTGAAAAAACCATTTCTTTCTCGTTCCTCCATTGCTCTAAACTTTTCATTCCAACTTCTCAGATTTTCTGGTCCATTGCGTTTGAGAAGCTGAGCTTGCATTTTTCTGTGGAACCCAAACAAATGGTGGACTCGAGTGATTCGTCACGTCCAGCAGGAAAATGGCTACCCGGTGCTGTCTTGAACGTTGCTCACTGTTGCTTGCTACCAAAGCCAAGTATCGGAAAGACGGACGATAGAATCGCCATTAAATGGAGAGACGAAGGTGGAGATGATTTGCCTCCCAGCACAATGAAACTTTGGGAGCTTCGGCACCATGTCAGGTGAATTTAAGTTCCATTCATCCATAGTTTACTAGGAACTTACGTTCTTCCTTTCTTTCGTTTTCTTTTTTCTCTTGCAGCCGAGTGGCATTCTCGCTTCAAGCTGCCGGTTTCCAAAGAGGAGATCGAATCGCCATCGACATGCCAATGCACATCCACGCTGTTATCATCTACTTGGCCATAATTCTCGCGGGCTGCGTGGTAGTGTCAATAGCTGACAGCTTTGTTTCCTCGGAGATCGCTGCTCGCCTGGCGATCTCCAAAGCAAAGGGGATCTTCACTCAGGTGATTTCCAAAACTTTCACGTTTTCAGCTGTTACCAGAGCTTCTACAGGATGTGATAGTGAGAGGTGGTAAAGCAATCCCGTTGTACAGGTAAAGAGCAAAGTCATATCTTTCAGGTTTTGCGTGATCCAGTTTTCTATGAAGTCGAGTTCTGGGAGCTAAACCACCAAAGGCAGTCGTCCTTCCATCGGATGGAAAATCAGTGCGCGTTCCAATCAGAAACCAAGACGTTTCTTGGGAGGAGTTCTTTGCAAATGGAAACGGCACAAACAGGTACAGGGAAACTATCGAAAACCTTGGAGCATTGTCACTCAGATTCATTTGCAGATCTGGAGACGAGTTCCCAGCTGTGCAATTACCCGTCGAGTCATGGACAAACATACTCTTCTCTTCAGGCACTACAGGTCTGAATGAAAAAACTCTCCAAACTCTACAAAGTTGGTGTTGTTTTCTTTTCTGAGATTCGTGCTTCCATTCAGCCGAGCCAAAAGCAATCCCGTGGAACCAGACAACTCCCATGAGATGTGCTGCCGATTCATGGGCACACTTCGATCTCCAAGCTGGTGATATTTACTGCTGGCCAACGAATCTGGGATGGATGGTGGGACCTTATATTATCTCTGCTTGTCTACTCTCTGGAGCAACAATGGCACTTTACAACGGGTCTCCTCTCGGACGATCTTTCGGAAGGTTTGTCCAGGTGAAAAAAATCGTTTTTTATCTTCTTTCTTGAGATGTTTCTGCACAGGATGCAAGAGTTACGATTCTGGGAACCGTGCCGAGCATGGTAAAAACTTGGAAGAAGGTCAACTGCATGGATTCACTCGACTGGTCGAGTATCAGGTAATCTATAGGATGACCGAGAGAGTTTGTGCAACTCTTTAAAAAATTTGTTTTTTGCGGCAGATCGTTCGGAACAACTGGTGAGGCTTCTAGTATCGATGACGATCTGTGGCTCAGCGCAAGAGCTTGGTATAAACCAATTCTAGAGTGTTGTGGTGGAACCGAGCTTGGCTCTGCTTTCCTTCACGGATCACTGCTCCAACCGCAGGCCTTTGCAGCTTTCAGCACTCCGAGCTTGACGGCAGCCTTTGTTCTTCTTGATGATTCCGGAAGACCATACGTAAGCTTTCATTCCGTTTGTAAATCGATCAGCATAAACGTTTGGAAAACTTTCCAGCCAGATGACCAGCCTTGCTCTGGAGAGATTGCTCTCTTCCCCAAGCTTCTTGGAGCTTCATACACGCTGTTAAACGCTGATCATCACAAAGTCTACTTCGAAGGCATGCCTGTGATCAATGGGATTGTAAGTACCTTTCAGAAGATTTATCATCGTGAAGTTCCTGAAGTTCTTCGCGTGTCTAGCAACTTCGGAGGCATGGCGACGTGTTTGAGCGAATAGCCGGAGGCTTCTACAAAGCTAAAGGTCGAGCAGACGATACCATGAACCTTGGAGGCATCAAAGTAAGAAAAAAGAGTCTGTTTTGTTTCGTTTTTCTCCAGGCTCTCTGGTTGATGATCGACTGTTCTTATGACGCAGGTGAGTTCTGTGGAGATCGAGCGTGTTTGCAATACCGCGCACAGCAGCGTTCTTGAGACCGCAGCCATAGCCATGCCTCAAGGAAAAGGCGGCGGCCCCGACAACTTGATCGTCGCTGCGGTTCTCAAAGGTGCTCTTCCACCAGGTGAAAATCACCCAGAAATGCTCAAGAGGATCTTCTTGAAGGCTCTCCATGACAACTTAAATCCTTTGTTCAAGGTGAGTGAGCACGAGAAAAAAAAAAAGAAGAAAGTTCCTTGCGTAAAATTTGATTTTTGTTTTTTTTTTTTTTTTTGAAAGGTCCATGCGGTGGTTCTTCGTCCGGAATTTCCTCGCACAGCGTCAAACAAAATCATGCGAAGAGTCCTTCGAGCACAAATGGCGCGCAGCAAGCTCTGAGATTTTCCTGCTGGTAGATTTGTTCCAAAAACCACAATTTTACCATCATAACCAAACTTTTATCATTCACAAAGATATGGCATTACCATCAAAACCAATTTTTTATCATTCACAAAGATATAGTTACATTGAGGAACATGTAAATGTTCTTGGCATGATATCCGGTTTCTAAAGAAAGATGACAGCGAAGAAGAACAAGCGTTATGAGCGCTTAGAAAGTGCTGTAAACTTTCAAGTTCGTGAGGATGTTGTTCGCGAATGGATCCGCGAGATGATCGAGCAAGTTTTGGAACGGACCGACGCCTGTGAAGGGTGCCTGGATGAAGTAGCCCAGAATCGCCAGCATCGCCAGCCTCCCATTCTTCACCTCCTTGATCTTGAGCGTCCGCATCGACTTCTCGTCCTTGCCGAATCCAAAAGGATTGAAGATCCCTCCCGGGTACGCTGGATCCCCCGAGCCTCCCAGGTACTTCTCGAATCCCAGGAAGTACTGCTTCCCCATGGAGCCGGGCTTGTAGTAGTCCTGCGCTCGCCGGTGCTCGGCGAAGCCCATGAGCGCCATCTCCAGGAAGAACAAGGTGTAGGGGTCGGCCCAGTAGTTGTAAGTTCCAGCGGGAGGGAAGACGCCGGTCTTGAACCACACCACTGCAGTCTGCTGTGGGATGATCCCAATCTTGCCAAAGATCTCCGGAGCGATGGCTCCCGCGGCTCCCAGCATCGCGTAGCGGCCATTGATGATCTCCGCGTAGGACAACCAGTTGGGAGTCATGAAGTTTCCAGCTCCCGCCGGGTCGGAGAGGCCCAAGGGATCGAAGCCATAGTCTCCGGGAAGCCTGTCCAGGAATCGATCAAACTCTTCACGAATGGAATGGATTCTAGAGAGCTTACGTTCCATCTAGGTAGGACAAGCTTTGCGACGACGCGAACCACAGCTGCCTATTCGCTTTCTGGCACACAAGAACGAGCACATCTCCATCAATCTCTCCAAATTTCCACAATGTAGCATAGCATCGATGAAACAGGGGAAGGACCACATTACCGTGGCTGGCTTGTCCGATGTGGCCCTCACCACGAATCTGGAGACCTTGCGCGGCGATGGCAGAGCGGCGGAGGAGCTGGAAACCCTGATGCCATTCCCAAACACCAGCTGCTGCTTCCAGCTGGTGGCGGCGTCGATCCCTGTGGCCACCACGGCGGCTGCCATGCTCGATCGAGCGATCGAACGATGGGAATCGAGAATGCCGGCGCTAAGAACCCTAGGGAGCGCGAGCAACGAGCTTGTCTTTGCGCGCTGCCCAGCCACAAATTCACTTCTGTGGCATAGTATGAAGATTTCTTTCAATGCTCTCGGCCACTCGCAATCTGCCACGTGGACTTGAGGATTGCCTATTAGCAATTTGGATAGCCTCCGACGTGGCAGGGAAGAGAGGGTGTAGGGTTTTATTTCGCCAAGCTCAATGCTAGCGCGGCTATGGCGACTTCCATGGCGCTATCGCCCTACATTGTCGATCGCAAGGTAAGCGAGCAGCTTTTCGGATTTTCTAGCGCCTAGGTCTGAATGGATTAGCCGCACAGGTCCATGCGCGGCGCGATCGCCACGATTCCATCGTCTCTATCACTCGGTATGCGTGAAGAAATTTTTGATCCGGCCTTAGATATGGATTTTCTTTATTCCAGGTTTTTCCCGCAGCTACTCGCGTAGCGATAGCGAGGATTTCGATGAAGAAGAGGAAGTGGACGACGATGAGGACTTGGATATCGATCCCGAGGTATGGGACGAGGATCCGGACGGCGCCAAGAATCTGGATCCAACTTACGAGTTCCCGAAGCCCACCACCGAGACAAAGTTCTACGGCTTTTTCGACAAGAATTACAAGCCCAGCTCGGACTCGGAGGTGGACACGGAGGACGACGAGGACGTGGATTACTCCTTCTCGACGGACTACAAGTTCTCGCCGTTCGCGAGAGCTGGAGTTTCGTACGAGGACTGGATCGAGATGAAGAAGCAACACGATTCCATGCCGAAGAAGAGGAAGAAGGACGACGACTTGGACGTTGATGACTTCGACGTTGAGAAGCTGCGAGGGGACATACCTTTCGACAAGTGGGCCGAGCTCAAGCGCCAGTTTAGCATGACCACGGATGTCAAGGACGAAGATCTCGACTTTGTGAGGGATCGTCCCAAGGGCCAACGAAGTGGACTGGATCCCAATCCCAACGAGAGCTTGCACTACAAGACGATGCCCAAGAACGCCACCAGCGAGGAGAGGATGAGATACTTCCGCGGGGAGCTAGACAAGTACTTGAGGATCGCAAACAAGTACGACTACACGCCTCGCTTCTTCTCCTCGGATCCTCACATCGAGCGAGTGAAAGCGAAGCTGTCGACCATGAAGCCGGATGCGGATGGGATTTACAGGAACACGATCGAGTATATCTCGGACATCGACGTGCTGCTCTACGCTTACAGGGTGGTGAAGGCCAGAAAGATGGGACCGGGTACAGATTGCACGACGATACCCATCGACAACATCAAGATGGACTGGTTCTACAAGACGCAGAGGGAGCTGAGAGATGGAACTTACGAGTTTCCAGGTAGCTTTACGGTTTACGTGAAGAAGAAGAGCTTCAAGAAATAGCGGTTCTCTACAACGAAAGCTGGTCTAGCTAATACTCTTCACCTTCGTCCTCGCCCTCGCCTTCGGTGGAGTCGGCGCCAACTTCCTCGTAGTCCTTCTCCAGAGCTGCCAAGTCTTCTCGGGCTTCCGAGAACTCTCCTTCCTCCATCCCCTCGCCGACGTACCAGTGGACGAAGGCACGCTTGGCATACATGAGGTCGAACTTATGGTCGATTCTGGAGAAGACCTCTGCAATGCTGGTGGAGTTGGAGATCATGCAGACAGCCCGCTGGACCTTGGCAAGATCACCTCCAGGAACTACAGTTGGAGGCTGATAGTTGATCCCGCACTTGAATCCGGTGGGGCACCAGTCGACAAACTGGATGGTCCTCTTGGTCTTGATGGTTCCCACGGCCGAGTTGACGTCCTTGGGCACGACGTCTCCTCTGTACATGAGGCAGCACGCCATGTACTTACCGTGGCGGGGATCGCACTTGGCCATCATCGACGCAGGCTCGAAAGCGGTGGACGTGAGCTCCGAGACGGACAGCTGCTCGTGGTATGCCTTCTCGGCCGAGATGACCGGGGCATACGAGGAGAGCATGAAGTGGATACGCGGGTACGGCACCAAGTTGGTCTGGAACTCCGTGAGATCGACGTTGAGAGCACCGTCGAAGCGCAGCGAAGCCGTGAGAGACGAGATGATCTGTGACACACGGAGGACGTGAGATAGGTGCTTGGAAGGAAGACGGGGTGCGAGCAAAGATGGATACCTGAGACACAAGCCGGTTGAGGTTGGTGTAGGTGGGCCTTTCGATATCGAGCGAGCGCCTGCAGATGTCGTAGATGGCCTCGTTGTCGAGGATGACGGCCACGTCGGTGTGCTCCAGCAGGGAATGCGTGGAGAGGACGCTGTTGTATGGCTCTACAACGGCAGTGGAGACTTGCGGGGACGGGTAGACGGTAAAGGCGAGCTTGGACTTCTTGCCGTAGTCGACGGACAGGCGCTCCAGCAGAAGAGAGCCGAGGCCGGAGCCAGTGCCACCTCCAACAGCGTTGAAGACGAGGAATCCCTGGAGGCCAGTGCAGTTGTCAGCGAGCTTGCGGACGCGGTCCAGGCACAGGTCCACAATCTCCTTTCCAACTGTAAGAAAGGCAACGAGTCAGAAGCTGTCGCAGCCTGCTCGTCCAGACTCACTGGTGTAATGACCGCGGGCGAAGTTGTTTGCCGCGTCTTCCTTGCCGCTGATGAGCTGCTCCGGGTGGAAGAGCTGGCGGTAAGTTCCAGTCCTGACTTCATCGATGACAGTCGGCTCCAGGTCCAGGAACACGGATCTCGGGACGTGCTTGCCGGCTCCAGTCTCGCTGAAAAAGGTGTTGAAGGCATCGTCGCCGCCTCCTACAGTCTTATCGCTGGGCATCTGTCCGTCAGGCTGCTCGAGCACACAAGAGTTACAAGCTTTGAGAGGTGAGTGGCAGCCAAGTTTTTGGTTTGTTTCTCACTTGGATGCCGTGCTCCAGGCAGTAGAGCTCCCAGCAGGCATTGCCGACTTGGATCCCGGCCTGGCCGATGTGGATCGAGATGCACTCTCTCATCTTGCGGAAGCGCTGCTGGAATGCTGGAAGTGGCGAGGACTCTCAGCAGACACTTGGAACTAACAGGAGCTCTTCTCCTCTTCGCCTGACCAGTTTTTATACTCGTCGGTGAGTAACGGTAATTCATGTGAAGCGTTCCAGTGGTGGCAACCGCCATGCCGGCTGAACGATAGCAGTTAGTTACCAGAATTCTTCTTTAAAGGAACATTCTTCTTGTATTTACAAAAGCCACTTAAAAAAAAAAGCAAATTACACAAAAGAGACAGAGAGAGAGCTATCGATCAATCAAATCCCACGCAAAACTCTATCTTGTGTGCCTTTCTTTTTATCCTTGATCGTGAGTGCTTGGCACAGCTCCAAAGGACACAAATCTCTCGAGCTCCTGTTAGTGAAAACATGATTGATAGCTACTGTGACGACCAGCGAGTAGAGAAGAGGAAGCAAATCTCTGGAGCTTCGTACCTGAGGAGGACGCGGAGCTAGCTTACAGCACCATGGTAGCCTTCTTGGGCGTCACCACCGGAGACTTTGTGGGAGTAGTCACTTCTTTGTTGAGAGCCTTGATCTTGGGTGTTGGGAGTGAGAGCCGCTTCTTTTGGAACTCAAGATCCTCGCTTGATGGTCTCTGCTTTGGAAGGCTGGATGGTCGATCTTTGCTCTGGTCCGGAGTGCCTGGAGTTTTCCTGGGATTCATGTACCTCGACTTGACCACCGGTTTCTCGACCCCGTTCACCACCACGTAATTGGTGTAGCCATTGCTCGTCGTCCTGCCTGGAGTGGAAGTGACCTTGACGGACGCTGGCGAGCTTATCTCGGAGGCCGGTGTCGGCTGGAACTTACTGTTAGATTGGACGCTCTTTGGCGAGTCAACGCATTCGCTCTCCTTGGGACTCTTGCTCGGCGGTTGCACGGAGCTCTTGCTGTGGACTCCATTCTTTAGAACTTCCTCCACGGTGTGATTCTCCCAGGGGCGTGAAGCCATCCAACGCTCCAGCCACCCCCACTCCCATTCAGGATTCTCCGCGCCTTTCGTTGGTGGTCGAGGATGAGCCCTCCACTGCGAAAGGAGTCAATCAAAACAACATCTTTAGCTTGTGACTTACTTGATGTGAGAAAGCATACGCCAAGGCGCGCTCGCGCTTCACAGCCGCTTCGTGCTTCTGCTGGATCCTTGTCTTCATTTCTTCCTTCGTGCGAACTCCATCAGCCCATCCTTTCTGCGAGAACGAGACACGCTCATCTCAAAGTTGCTACAACAGGAAGCGAAAGCAGACCTCTGGAGTCTTGTCGGTTGGAATCGGGCGATGAGTTATGGTACGCATTGTGGACGCTTCGTGAAGTCGCGTCTGGCGAGCGCGTTGGACCTTGACCAGAGTCTGCATGCACCGAAGCGTGATGGAAGCTTGCTTTCTGACGGTGCGACCACGGACGAGCGCTTGCAACCGAATGACACCTTTAATGGCACGGAGCGTTCTCCGAGCCTGGAAATCCAAGAGATGAGCAGGAAACTCAAGCAGCTACTGTGCTTACCATATATCCGCGAAAGGCCGTCTGGATAACAACGGCAGCCCAGTCCTGAGAACCATGGGGAAAATCGGGTTTCCTCACCACCACCTGCGGCTTGTCATCTGTGGCATGGATAGACGATTTCCAGAACTTCCATTTTCTTCCCTTGGCCTTCTTCGGCTTCTTCTGCTGCAAAGAAAATTTAAGTCAGGGAGAACATTAATGATTGTTGCAAGATGTCAGCCATCTCTAGCCAGCAATTTGGTGCTCAGAGACAGTGCCAAAGACAAAATTGCAAGAAGGAAGAAGAGGTCTTACATTTTCCTCAGATGAGCTTTTGACTTTGATGATTCCAAGCGATTGGAACAACTTCTGTGATCCACCCATAGCAGCGCTGCGACTTCAGCAGTGGTCACTGCAACCGCGGAGCAAAGCAAGCGTCAAATTCGTCCGCAAGATCTCGGCCGAGCCAGTACAAGAAGAGGAAAACGTACCATGAAGAAGACAGCGGAGAGAACTTGCACCAAGCTCAAGCGCGACGAAACAGAATGAGGGAGACAAACCAGATCTAGACCCCTTCACCTTCACACCACAAGAATTGGGAAAGACAGACCGAGAAAGGAGAGGAGAAATAGTCTACAGAGCTTACACGAATCAGGCTACTGTAGAGAGCATCTCCCTTGACGCGACAAACCGCTAACAAAAAACTCTTTATCACCACCACGCCTAGTGTTCCTAGCTCAGGACACATAGAAACAAAGAAAGCCTATATACATACCATTTCTACATACAAGCAAGGCAAAGCAAGGCAAAGCAAGGAAGAAGAAGAGACTCGAGAAAAAAAAAGGAATTTGGTATGCAAGCGCCCTGTAGCACGTTGACCTGACACCCAATGCGAAATCGGGAAGAAGTAGCCACGACTGACACAAACAATCACTCAAATCAAAAGGAAGGAGCGAGCGAGCGAGCGAGCAAGCCAGCTACAAACTTTTTTGTCACTGCGATAGAAGAAAGAAGGAGAAAAAATTTTAGCCAGCAGCCAGAGAAGATTCAACGAGAAAACGCGCACACAAAAGGAGAGAAAACTGCGCACACGCTCACACACTGTGTACAGTCTGTGCGCTAGAGACCCCACCTCCCAGCGACAAACTTTAGACTAAGTTGGCTCAATACTAGCAAAGCTTGAAAGCGCACACACACAGACACACACACACTGTGCAATGCGTTGGATGTATGATCGCATCACGGCACAAGCACTACGCCTAGCGCGACCTAGCTAGCTCTCAAACAAGCACAAGCAAGCAAGCACACACGCGAAATCCATGATCGCAAAGAAAGGAATCGCGGAAGATCGCCATCCCGCGTTACTCACTCCGGGAGGGGGATCATCAACTCACCAATGCGATGGATCGATCGCTGGCGAGTGAAATGCGATCGATCGCGTCCAGGATGATGCGCGCCCGCCAAGAAGATGCCCCGCGACGACGACGACGACCCTAAAACCCCAGATGGTGCCACGCGGCGCTTTGCTGTCTCATCTTATTTAACGGCCCAGGATCTCTCTCCTGTCTTAAGATCTGACGGCGCCCAGCTAATAAATGAGGACTCACGTACGTTCCTCTATACTTTAGAGGACCTCCTCAGAGAAAAAATCGATTTTTTATAGAGACATGGCATGGATGTCCAAAATCTTAATCTTCGAATAGCGCTAGCGATGGAGACAAGCCAACCAACATGGCTCACGGATCAAAGCTCTGCCATAGTTTTTTCTTCTTTCTCTTCTCGCTTGAGAGCTCATCGTCTTGTTCGTCTTGCTTGCTTGTTTCTTTGCTTGCTTATCCCACTCCTTCCAGCTGATTGTGGCACTCGAGCTACGCAAACAAAGAGAGCTTGTTGGCAAATTGACCGCTTAACCAAGCTCAACAGCTCGTCGCTTGTCACTGCGTGACGATGGTGTCGGGCACACCATCTCCATCTCGGGTCCATCCCCTCCTTTTCACTCTTAATTCTAAGCCATATCCGATCCAAGAGAAAACTTTGAAACTACTCACAGGTTTTTTTCTTTGCTTCTCGTTGCCTCGTTGATCATTCCATCTCTTTGCCGAGAAGCAGCACCAGTTTGAGTGATTGTACACGCGGGGTTAAAACTCGTCCGTAGCAAGTTGAATACACTATCTAAAAAGCGGAGCCATGACTGCATGCAAATCGATATCAAGAGATTCGATGTCCCTGCAAGAGAATACAGGTTTTATTAGCGCAGATAAGGAAATCGCTAAGCTTCTACCTGCAAATTGTCTGCCCCTTGTCAACAAAACTAGAAATAAACCACGCTCTTCTCAGCGACGGTGCCTCCAATTGTACGAAGAATCCGTCTGACTGTGTGTGTTTCCACTTCCGACTGCCTTGGCCCTTCCACACCTGTGAGTAAAAGATCGTTTTTTTACAAGCTGAAGTCTCAAAAACACAGAACTTCTTCTTACCTGTGGATAGGCGATGCTTGCTTTTGACACCACCACGCAAGCGCACTCTGAAGCTGTATCTACGGCATACTGTCGTAGAAAGGACACACAACTGGACAATGTGTCCGGAGACTCGAACGCCTTAAAACAAACGAAAGTCAGTTTGAGAACGAGGAAGAAGAGCTTCGTGTATACCTTGGAAATCGAGACGAGCGTTGCAACCTCTTCAGCTGGTGGCTTTGGGGGATTCCCGACGGAGAAACGAACAGCTGGATCTAGTTTTCCATGGTTTTCGCTCCATTCCCTCATGCCCGATTCAATAACTTCCTTGACAAAGTTGTAAGACTTTTTCTCGATATCTGTGTCGCCCTGCCAAATCGAAAATTAAAGACTGTAGTGTAGAGGGGAATTCTATACTCACAAACTCGGTCTTGATCTTCTCCAGTGCCGAGCTTGTCGTAGTCCCGTTTGATTTTGCCAGTTTCTCTTTGGCACGTTTTCTGTCTCTGATCAACTGCGAGAGCCTTTTGATTTTACTGGCAACTTCTGCGCTCTGGGGATTTTGTTCCAAGGCTTCTCGGTACGCAACAAGCGCCTGCGCAAGCGAAGGCATCAATAAGTATCGAGGCACAAAGAACGTAAAGCTTACATCATCGTAGCGATCCATGGCTTCTAGTGCCGACCCTTTCCTGAAATACCCCTGTAGAAACACCGGAGGCATTGTTTTACGAGTGATCGTTGCAAGATGATCCACTCAAGAAAAAATCCTTGAAGCGCTACTAGAATGAATGAATGAAATGCAAGCAAGATCATCCACTCAAATAAAAATCTTTGAAGTCATACTAGAATGAATGACTGATGGTTGCAAGATGATCCACTCAAGCACAAATCCTTGAAGCGCTACTATAATGAATGAACGGGACAAGAGTTGCAAGATGATCCACTCCAACTTGGGAAAGAAGAAAGAATGCAAGAACCTTTTCCCATGTCGGATTGAGCTTGACGGTCGTCTCAGCGTCCGCGAGAGCTTTGGTAACTTTGAGAAGATTTAGAAACGCCGCCGAGCGATTGCTGCAGTTGCGCACCAAGAACGAAAACGAATGACGCGATCGAAGAAGAATCCAGCCCGTTTCTTACCTGTAGAGCGTGGCATTGCCGGGATCGGCCTTGATCGCCTGCGTGTAGACCGCCGCCGCCTTGAGATAGTTCCCCGACTTGAAGAGCGCATTCCCTTCCTCGCGGTGCTTCCCCGCCTCCATAGCTCGCAGCGCTAAGCTAGGGTTTTAAAACATTAGGGCGGACGTGGCGGCGCCAGGTGGCGTCCACCGTGGGCGCCGGAAGCGCCACGTCAGATTCGGCCGGCATAGCAGCCCTTCGAGGCGTGGGCGGCGAGCGATGGGAGGGAGAGATGCCAAGCGTGGCGGCGGTGATTGGCTGCGCGATCCAAGTCCACAGCACAGTGAATGCTTGGGGGGCGATGGGGTGCGTGAAGAACCCCAAGCGTTTTCCCAGAGGATCGGCGGTTTCACCCAGTGGCTACTGCTGCTGATCATGGATCGATCGAGCTCATGCCCTGGCCGGGCATGCTGATCCAATTGGGCGCCCGCGATGAGAGCCAGGAGTGAGATGCCGCTGGCCATCGTCGCCCCGGGTCTCAACTCCAAGAGGAAGAAGAAGAGGAGGAAGAAGAAGAAGAAGGCCGTGTGTGGCTACATTCGCGTGGATCTCTCGTGCTGCCGCTATCAAATCCTTCGCATCGTGCTGCGAAAGCTGGGCTGGGAGGTGACCACCGATGATAGCAAGCCATGGCATCTCATCTGGACAGGTGATCTCGAGCTAGCTCCATCGTTTTCTTCGCGAAACTCATCTCACGCTCGTTTTCTTCTCTCTTGGAAGAACAGATTGTTCGATCGGTCCCGACAAGCTCATGATGCTCAAGCGCGGCCAGAAGATCAACCATTTCGTGGGAATGCTGGAGATTTGCCGCAAGAAGGCGCTGGCTCGCAACCTCTCCATGATGCGCAAGTAAGTTCTCGTTCATGTTTCGCAAGCTTTTGCTTTGACAATCTCTTTAAGAGTTAGAGAACTATTTGCTCGTTTCTTCCGTGATCGTCGGTAACTGTTGCTTTGCTCAGGCACTTTGATATTCTATGTCTACAGGATCTTTCCTGCAGCATATAAGTTCTTCCCGCGCGCTTTCATCCTCCCCAACCAGCTCACGCAGTTCATGGCAAGATTTAACACTCCCAAGCCGCGAACTTACATTCTCAAGCCCGACACTGGCTCCATGGTAACTTAACTCTCTCTTTCTTTGAATTCTATAGCGTGAAGATCTGCCATTTGATCTCGTCCTCTCCACAGGGCCGAGGCGTTGTTCTCGTCCAAACTTCCGACGAGGTGAAGAACGCCATGAAAGGTCTGCATGGAGCAAACTTCGTGGCACAGAAGTACCTCACCAAGCCGATGCTGCTCAATGGCTACAAGTTTGATTTGCGGATTTACGTGTTGATACTGTCGTGCAATCCACTGCGACTTTACTTGTACAGGTAAGTCGTCCTGTGTTTTCTATACGTTGTTCCATGGCTGAATCCATCGTTTGCATTTGCAGAGAAGGCTTGGCTCGATTTTGCACGGAGAAGTACATGAAGCCCGACCACAAGAACATCAAAGTGAGCCGGATGCACCTCACGAACTACTCGCTCAACAAGTACAGCTCCAAGTTTGAGTTTAACAGCAGTACCACCGAAGTGAACAAAGGTAGCAAGTGGACACTCACTGCGTTGTTCAAGGCTTTGGCGGCGGAGGGCTTTGACACCAATCAGCTCTACGAGCAGATCAAAAGGATGGTGGTCTTGACCGTCATCGCCATCGTCCCAGTTCTCGCTCACAGCTACAAGACGTGCCTCAACGAGGACGACAATGGACGCTCGTGTTTTGAGCTGCTTGGCTTGGATGTTCTTGTCGACGAGAAGTGCAAGCCATGGCTGCTAGAGGTAGTGTAACCGAGCTTTTACTTTTGCCGAGCACGAGTTTTTGACTGGGAGATTTCTCTAGGTGAACCATTCTCCTTCGTTTTCTATAGACACTCCGCTGGACTACATGGTGAAGGAGGCACTTATCCTCGACACTCTGAAGCTCGTCAACATCGATCCCACAGGAATGAGCAAAGTTAAGATGGAAGAGAGACGGGACTCGCAGCTCAGGCTCTATGGGAAGCTGGTCGAGGAATGCGAAGATTCTGACGTAGCCGAGGAAGTCAGTACAAAGGAAACTTGCGAGAACCACGTCGAGGGCGAAACCAGGGGCAGCTTCGACATGATCTACCCGACCGAGGAAGCCAACTTGCAAAAGTTTTACGACCGGTGCCTAGCCGGAGCTTCCGAGCTCTTCACGCACTCTTTTGACATGAAAGTGAAGAAAGAGATAGCCAAAGTCCAGGAGGAGAAGAGGCAGGAAGAGGTGGTGAGGCAGGAGGCTGAGAAGCGGCGGGCGGAGATGGAGCTGCGAAAGAGAGCTCGTGAAGCGGCCAAGAACGTAGCGATCCTGAGGAAAGAGGCACTGAGCCAACGTGCTACTGCTGCTGCTGCCGCTGCCGCCGCCGCCGCTGCTTGCCGAGTGAGAAACGATGGACAAACCGTGACAACCACGACCACGACGATGACCGCCACCACCACAACCACAACCAGGACGACCACTGTCAAGCGCTCGTCGAGCAGGCTCGGAAAGAAATCGCCATCGCCGACAGTCTCCCTGGGAACTTCTTCCGTGTCCATGGCAATGTCACTGGTTGGATCTCCCATCACCTCTCCCGCGACGTCGACGCCAAAGTCGAGAGCGATGGAGGTGGAGGAAGAGATTGTCCAAGTGGAAGTCGAGGAAGCTCCAGGCGATCGGGAAGAAAGCGTGCAAAGGCTGGTGGAGCTCTTCGACGAGATACCGGAGCGAGTTGGCGGGAGAAGGCCGGACTCAGCCTCAGCTCGAAGCTCGGCAGTGGACGAGGCCACCACGACACTCAACGACATTCTCTTTCCCCGGGTGGAAGCACAGCCATGCCCGAAGATCCCGATCCACCATCGCAGGGAGCACTCGTCGGAGCTGGAAACAACGTCGTCAAACTCTCCCCAGCAGCAGCAGCATGATCACACACTTGGTTTCGGCAGCAAGACCATCTCGGACTTCTTCACCACCAAGAAGCTTAAAGGTAGCACCATCGGGCAGCAGCAGCAGCAGCAGCAGCAGCACCACCACCACCACCACCACCATCGCCACCAACACGACCACCAGGATCACTGCTTCACCACCCGGGGCTACGTCAAGAGCGTGAGCGGACTTCCAGCCGAGACCAAGTGTGCTCACTGCCAGAGACACCAGGGACGAGCTCTGGCGCTCAAGAACGCCAACGCGCTCCCCATGACGCTCCACGAGATGACGACGCTGGCGTCGAGCTTCCTCACGCACAGATGGGAGCACGACAGGTCGTCGGCCAAGTCCATCCCGCTCAAGAAAACCATGGGAGTGTCCGAGAGCATGAAGGCACAGTTCCGGTCTAAGCTTCTCAACTTCCAGCGCACCGGGGGATTTCTCGCCAATCCAAGCTTGCTCAAGCCACTGCAGCGGATGCCATGGGACGCTTCCACGAACTCCAATCGTCACAGGCAAAAGCTCAACATCATGCTTGAGACAACGCAACTGGCACCATCTTGATGATGATCCATGGACAATGAGAAGACAAAAAAATCAGTTTTTGGAGATTGAAACAGTACATTTTTAGCTGTAAATTTGACAAATCTCTGTATTGAATGTCTTATTACTACTTTGTTGGATGGATTTTACAATATTATTTAGATGCATGCTGAATGTTCTTCTAGTAAGAGCATTTTAAACTGGATTTACATTAAATGACTTTTGTAGCAATCTTCTTATGGATTAATAGTCCTCTAAAATATACATTGGTAGCAGCTTTGAGAAAGGGATCTGCAAAAATGTTTTTCATGAGTTGAAAAAAATCCATACTATGAGAATATTATTTGCAGAATATGATAGATCAGGTCCTCAAGAGGCTTGTGGGGATTCCTATTGTGAAGCAGATGAGGAGATCTTTGCTTCTCATAGCTTGATTAGATAAAATCACAGTTTGATAGCATTTTTATCAATTGATGCTAGTAAAGAATCAGAGAGTTATTTTAACTAGAAATGAATACTAAATACTTTTTAAATTTTTGAATATTCTATATTTATGTTCTTATTATTTCAGTTATTTTTTAATTTACAATATTTTGAATATGCACATATGCAGATATATATTTTTATTTTCAATTGCATACAAAAATATTATGCACACAATTACATTTGGATTGCTATAATAACAATCTAAACTTGATTGTGTGCATAATATTTTTTGCATGGGACATGCGGGGCATAGCACCGAGACTTTCCAGACAAAGTGATGGCACCAAGAATATTCCTAACGTGCAGATTTTGAGCACGTAATGGCCAGGCACAATGGCATTATACCACTCTCCTCCTGGTAGTGATGAGGTGGTGGCAATCATGCTGGTAACTATCATGCTCTCAATAGTGTCTTACTTAGTCACCATCTAAGGAAAGATCTTCTAATGGTTCCTGCTGCAGAATTGGAGCCTTTGGTGCCCCTTGAGCTGTGCTAAGATCTCCCTAGGATACAAGTACTCATTTAAGTGGCTTGCGATTAACCACCTAAAGCTTGCCATATTCCTAGCCACCTGTGAAGCTCCTCTTCAACTGGACTACAGCTCCAAGTTGTCAAAATTCCAAAAGAATTTACCATATGCATGAAGAGAGCTTGGACTATAGCTCAAGAAAATGTGCCAATGGCAACGTTGGGGAGCATGTTGGAGGTCAGAAAGTTGAGGAAGCTATTGAGAACTTTGGGATCAATCTCAAACCTCTCAACCTAGGGGTTGTTAGATTGCATAATCTATTTCATTTGAGAGCATCCAAACTTCCAGCTGCTCTGAGGATGATTGCTCAACCAGGACTGTCAGTGTCATGCAGGTAATATTGTGGGTTTCTGTTTTAACTCAGTTGTTGCAAACATGTAGCAACGAAAGAGAGACCTTTGTTTGGAGGCAACAATCGATCAAACTGTGTGGCTTGCTAGCTCTTCTAAGACTCGGGAATGCCAAAGTTTAGGCATTTATCCATGAAGAAACATAAGATAAATGGTGAAGACTCTATCAATTTTACTCTATGACAGGATCCGCCATCTACAAACTTCTGCATTAAATGACCAAAAGCATAATGCCGTGTTCTGTGGGATTAGCCAGCATAAACACATAAAACATTCAACTGAACAAGGCATTATACAAGTATCAATGAAGTACCAAATCCATAAAATTAACAAACCTAGCTCAGGAACCTTTCCTGATATTGATCTTCCAGATGATACTGAGTGAGTTAAACTGTCTCAAATCTGAGGCCATTTTTCACTCACAAACATCTACAGAATTACTATCGCTCAAGCTCTGAGATCTTTTAGCCTTGCTCTTTAGCCAGCTCAATGACAAGGATGACAATGACGCTCTCAGAAGAGATTTCCCAGGACACATGCAAAGACAATCATCCAAGAATAAAGTATTTCTCTGAAAACGAAATGCTGCCCTATTGCTCTGCGCTCCAACCTTATCTCATGGTTGTGCAGATGGAAGTCAAGGGTAATTTGACAGTTGCTCTTGGTCATTACCACTTTTATCGAATTGTTAATATAAATTTGTTTTTCTAACCGATATATTGTACAGAAATTGGTTTTACATTAGCCGCCAGATCCTGATTCGCATCTAGACTCATATCGACGGAGGAGGAATCTCGGATGCTCGAGAGCTTCGTGCAAGCTCAAATCAGTATTTTTGAGGTCATAGACACCAAAAATGCGATTGAATTTCATTCCAAAGCAAGAGATCATCGACCGTCCGAGCTGTGCGATCACTACGTGTGGAGGGAATACCAGGCCCAGAATCCAGCAGAGTTCCCGTGCTACGTCCCGCAAGCTGCTGTTCCACCACTGCTCTACGAGCCTTTCTCCAACCTCGCCAACAACCTCAAGCATGGCCAGATCGAAGCTACGGATCTCAAGTTTGCCAAGAGCTTTTGGGAGATGATCCCGAGTACGTGACGGAGCGGTATACGAGATCACAATCAAGCTCTTGGCCAAATACCTTGGGGAGGCTTTTATACCATACGCAGCGCTTTCTGGAGGAGTGAAAGCCGATATGGGCCACGAAGAGAGTGGGACGTCTCTTCCTGGACTGGAAAGCCCCAATGCGCTCGTGATCAACGTGGAAGTCCTGCATGTCCTCGCTGCATCGATGGAGAGCGACCACAACTTTGGCCCGAGCCTGTGACGACGTGTTATGGAGACTTTGAGGCGATCAGGACGACTGGGGCCATTTGCATCTTCGTGGAGGAAGCAAACAGAGAAGAACTCATTGTGAGGTGGCAAGGCGCGACCATCCCTTGGCCGCTGAGGAATCTTGACAACGTTGTGCAGCCGGATGATCGAAGGCTCTTCGCTCAAGGCTGTGAAGCAAACCAGCATGAACTGGTGGATGGTAAGCATAGGTGACGCTGGGTGGGTGTCAGCAGTGGACGTGGTAGAGGGTGCTCGCGAAGACGCAAATCATCTTGCCAAGCTCAAGCCCTGCATTGCTGCTGCTACTGCAGCCACGGGCCACTCGAAAAGCTTTGTGCATGGGGACCTGCGCCTGGGCAACGTCATGCTCAGAGCTTCCGCGATCAAAGACGAGGACGCGCCAGAGTATGAGGTGCATATTTTAGACTTCGACTGGCAGGAAAGCAAGGAGCAGCTGTGCATCCTCAACTGATGAATCCCGATGTGGAGTGGCCGACTTTGGCATGCCGATCAAGCAAGAGCATGATGTTTTCTTTATAGACAAAATGGTGGAACAGCTCACAGGCAAGCGGTTCTTGTGCGTACTAGTCTTGTTGCAGTGCTGCTCTCTCGCAAAACAAGTTCATGGTTCCTTTGAGAGCTTCATGAGCTGCATTCGTTTTTAGAGGGACTGAAATATGAAAACAGATTTGAGTTTTCATTCAACTTCATTTTATTTGCTTTTGAATTACAAAAAACACATTGGTTAGTCCTTTTCTAGCAGGTGCCATGATTTATGTGTGTGTGGGTATTAGGTACTGTTTGTTGCGGTGGAACTCTCCGAAAACAGATATTTCACTGGCCCAACTTACCCGAGTATATTCTCTCGAATTTCCACGTGCGTACATCGATTAACACGTGCGTTTTAGTTTGTCCGCCATAGCCAGCTATAGCTACTGAGGCGAGCGAGTTTTAGGAGGAGCCCCTTGAGTGGAGGATCCTAGCATGAAATGTCTAGCATGGTCGATTTCCTGGGGATCGAGGAGAAGGTGTCCACCAGCGTCAGCGCCGAGAGGTTGAGGAAGCTGGAGGAGCTCACGGACGAGGACGTGATGCAGCTCACTCGGGAGGATTGCCGGCGCTACCTCAAGGAGAAGGGTATGTGAGATTCTTGTGCCTGCAACGCTCTCGACGAACTTTTCAAGAGTTTCGTTCCAGGAATGCGCCGTCCGTCTTGGAACAAGGCCCAGGCCGTGCAGCAACTTCTCTCGCTCAAGAGCCTGTGCGATCCTTCCCCGGCTTCGAGTGGAGCCGCCAAGAGGAGCCCATCTCCGCCGCTCGACGAGGCTCCAGCGAAGAAACCCATGGCAATGTACGTGGAGTTTTACTTTCTCTCTCTAGAGAGTTACTTGAGCCTTCTTCTTCGCTTTTGGCTTTGCTTTTCTCCTCTTTGTCTGTCTCTCTTGGGTGGCAGGACAAGCATCGATCTCAAGGCTGCCGCTGCTGTGGACGCCGCCAATCTTACGATGTTTTACGATGGAGCAGTGTCCGTGTTTGACGACGTTTCGCCAGACAAGGCATCGTTTTTCCTTTGGTTTTGCAACTTCTAGAGAAGTTCTTGTCATAGGCTTATGCGATCATGCTCCTGGCCGGGGATGTGAAGTCGTGGCCTTCGATCAACGTTGCTGCTAACACCAACAAAGTTGTGATCTCTTCTTCTGGTACGAATTCACTGCTTGGGCGATCTTAACACGTTCGTTTTGTTTGTTCTCCCAGAGTTGCCACAGGCGCGAAAGGCATCACTCCAGCGTTTTCTTCAGAGACGCCGTGAGAAGTGAGTAGACCCTCTCGCTCTTTTCTTGGAACCGTGACGATGTTTCACAGAACTGCGAAAGAGGCAGCATCCAAAGGGAACTCTAATAAGTCGCCTTGTCGTGGCGAGAGCTCGGGGAAGCACGCATCGGATGCTACTGATCCAGCCACTTCTCCCTTGCTCACGGAGGTCTCTTCCTAGCTACATCTCCACTATACTTCTATGCCTTCGATGAACTTACTGTCTTTGATTCTATTCTAAGCTGACCTTTGCGATTGTCATCGAATTCTTTCTTTCCAAAAGTTCCTGTAGACTCACCTTTACTTTGTGAAGAAGTACACGATAAGCTCTGACAATTCAACATGGAATTTCATGTGTATTCCATGACATTAAATATTTGGTTTCGATCTCTTGTGGAGAAGTTACGGAGCATCCTGAAAAGTAGTTTTATTCACAAAAGAAGAAACGAGTGCTGTGCCACATCAAAATCCTTTCAAGTGATGACCGTGGGAGAAGAACGCTTAGTAAACTCTTCCATTTTACACAGCTTAAGAGCCACGTCCACCTGAGCACCAACGCATCACTCGTGATTTCTTGGGCAAAAAACAAATATACTTACCAGCGGTTCGAGTGTTTCCTGTGCGTCTCCGCCAGTCTTGGCTTTGTCTTGAATGTACTGTTCAATGTAAACTCGAATAGTCGCCCCCACAGAGCCAGTGCCAGATAAACGAAACACCTGAAACGAAGCGGACGACGTTTTTAACAATCTCTGTGGAAGAGAGTTTCCTTTACTCACAAGTCGAGAGCCATCCTGGAAAAGAAAGCGGATTCCTTGGTGGCTTGCGACGGAACCATCAACTGGATCTTTGTACTCAAACTCGTCTGCTTCTTTGATACCAGCGACATCAGATCGAATCCCCGACACTATTCTGCATGCTCACACTGTCAGGGAAGACCCACCCCTGGGGAAAAAACCTGAGGCTTACTTGTTCAAATCTGGTATGGAGGACTGGAGTTCCACCAAATGGTCCATCACTTTTTTCGCAGCATTAGCATCCACATTCTGGCAGGCAGAACAAAAAGGACGAGAGAAAGCATTAAGTCAGGCCGAACATCTTACATCTTACCTCGTAGTCATATCGGGTGTAGAAATGACGACCGTAAGTGGCCCAGTATTGGCGAACGATATCCTCCACAGTTACAAGCTTGCCGCCAGCCGGGACATCCTTGTTCTTGTAAGCCAGAATGGAAAGCCATGCCAACACTGCCCAGAGCCCGTCTTTCTCTCTTATGTGATCCGATCCTGCAAAAAAATACAAAAGCAACACAATATACACACAGGAACACTAATTCCGAATGTAAAGAGTTACCGGTTCCGAAACTTTCTTCACCACAGATGGAACACATGCCAGCATCCATCAAGTTTCCAAAAAACTTCCATCCAGTAGGGACCTGCAACGCAACATGTACGCGTGTGTAGGAAAGCAAGAACAAGAGCAATCCTATCACCTCAAAGAATCTGAGCTTTAAGTTGTTCGCCACAACGTCCAAAGCTGCAGAGGTAGGCATGCTCCTGAGAATCGTGTACATGACTCAAGGATTCAGCTGCAGCGTCTACACATACCTCGCAACACCTTTCAGACCGGAACGAAAATACGGTATCGAATCCACGGCATTTGCAGCGATAATAGCCACTGAATCTGATGGAGTTACGAAAAACCTGCATTGATTCCGTTAGCTTAGAAAAGCTAAAGCGGACTGGAAGCGCAAGAAAGATAAATACTACCTCTTTCCTAGGATCATGTTACGATCGGCGTCACCATCGGCTGCAGCTCCAAATTCAGGTGGATCGGCAGGAGGGCCGGTCTTCCCCAGTCCCATGCGCAAAACAAGCTCTTTTGCGTACGTGAGATTGGGATCCGGATGGCCTCCGCCAAAGTCCTCCTGTAGAAAACGTTCAAGTATGGCACAGAAAGAAAGAAAAACACAAACCTTGGGGATGCAGTTACACAAGGAGCTCTCTTTTGCTGACAGCTCCTGAACGAAGAGTTTTGTAGCGTATGCACCAGCCACACCATGTAAGCCATCGAAACAGAAAGAGAAATCCGGTCGCGCCAAGAGCTCCTTGATTGCCGAGAGATCGAAAATACTCCTGAAAGTAGGCACGATCGTTACGTCACAGATACAAAAGCTACCGGACAAAGCTTACTTCATCAGCTTCACGTAATCGTCAGCCGAGTCAAACACTTCGACGTCGAAGGGACCATCGGGACCGGTAAAGCTTGAAGTTCCAATTTGAGCAATGTCAACCTGACGTTTCAATACACGCTCTTGAAATAAAAACAGAAGAAAGCACCAAGTTCTTACATCTGGAAGGCCATCGGCCGTATAAAACTCATTGATAGTTGTTGTAGTCTCGTAGATCTTGTTAGTCAAGCCTTCCAGAGCAGGGCCACCATTCTCTGTGTTGTATTTTATCCCGAAATCCTGACGCAAGGACGAACAGTCAGGCTCCAAAAACTTATAAGAAAAACCTCGTGAGGTCCTCCAGGATTGTGGCTCGCGGTCAATATAAACGCACCAGATGCTTTTTCTCCCTGAAAGAAACAAAGCACAAGCATATATCAATCGCCAGGTGCTTGCGAGAAAAACTCACCTCCTGTCCAACGCGATTCCGAATGATAGCTGACACCGCAGGAGTGGAGAGCAATCCATTCTGCCCGATCCAAATCCTCCGCACTCCATTCGCCGCAGCGATTTTGATGATAATCTGCGCAAGTTCTCCTCTGAGCCATAGCGAGAAAAAAGCGAAAAAAAAAACACCACTCACTTGGATTGCTTCCCTGGAGAAGTATCGACCATCGCCAGAGACAACAATGGTTTTCCCTGAAGGAAATCACGAAATGGAATCAAAGTCGCGCTCTTCGCAAATCCAATCACTTGCCTTTCACCTTGTCTTCCCCCAATGCGAAGAATGTGGCCTGGACGAAGTTGTGCAAGTAATTTTCCTTCTGGAACTCAGTCACCTGCGCAGAAAATGGAGGTCGATCTCTTTTTTTTTTCCAGCTCAGTTCTCCCGAGAAAAAAAGAGAGCATTGGATCGAACGTATACCTTCTTGCGCAATCCAGAAGTCCCGGGCTTTTGGCCCTCGTGTGGAGAAGTAGTGCGCTTGGCGACCGTGAAGCTCGCCATGGATCCAAGATCTCCAACACCAGCCCTAGCTAAATGATCCCAATATTTCTTTTAGGGTTGTCAAGATAATAGGAGATTCCACGCGTCCAGCCATAGAAATGCACAGCAAAAAAATTTAAAGGTTTGTCCTGGAATTGGTAATAAACGTGTACTTATTATTTTAAATACTAAGATTAATCTTGAACCGTTGGATGTGGACAAATTTTCCCTCCAAATTTCGTGAAAGCCCTAGTAAAGCCCGCACGATCGGTCACTTCCATCGCCTCGATAATCGCCGCGCCGGCAACGCTGGCGATCCATATCCATTTGGCGCGGCGGCTGGGGTTTCGAGGCTCCTCTGGTGGCTGCTTCTCGGCGGACAGGGCTCGATCGCGCAAGTGTTGGAGCCTTTCGCGAGGTAAGAGCTAGGTTCAAGAAATTTTGGTTTTCCTACGCGGGTGTCTGCGATCCAATAGAAGTCTTTCCAATCCAGCGCTCTTTTCAATCTCATTGGGATTAAGTCCGACACACAGCAGCTGAGCTTCGTGGAGAAGGTGTTGCTCACTCGAGCCGACATCTCTGCTCTCTTCAACACGCTGGCTCCTGGATCGATCAAGTCATCTTCTAGCGGCCGCTGGATCCTGGAGCTCTCTCTTCTGGACAGCTCCTTTCTAGCCACTGTGGGTCTTTACGGGAGCAAGCGTATAGTGGCCGAAGCTCTTCTCCACCACTGTCAACTTCCAGACGAAGAAGTGAAAGCCCTTCGAGAGGATTTGCTATTGCCTGGACTCTGTGGAGCACTCTCCGTGGAAAAGCTTGTGCTCTTCTACTGGCACCCGGACAAGAAGTTCTCGGCTGCACGACGGGGTGACGTATCTTGCAACTTCATACGTTACCTCTGGATCTCTGTGACACGGTCTACTGCTGCATTGACGTTGAGGATGGCAATGGGAAGTTGGGACCGAAGAAGAACCAGACACAAAAGCTGCAGATATCCATTGTCAACTCGTCAGAGAACGATCTTGTGGTGGTGTGAGGCTTCCAGCTGCGGATGACTTCCAGTGTTTCTTCTCCTCTCTGGAGTGGAGGTTTCCATCGGTGTGCTTTGCTTGTTCCTGAGAAGTACACTCTGGCGACCAAATACCAGGGTGACGAGTAGACCACAAGGATGTTCCAGGGAAAATGAAGGAGTGGGGGAATGTCAACCTCAACTTTAGCCAGCTCAGTGAAGATACGTTTTCGACGTTCACAAGCTGTGCTGAGCTTGAAGGCTTCAAAGATCTGAGCACGAAGCTCAATGCGGTTGAACAACGGAGGCAGGAACGCCTAAGAGAACTCTCCAACAACAAACACTACCAGATGGTGATGATGATGGTAGTGTTGAAGGTCTTTGCAGACGGGCTTCTCGCTTACCTGAGGCAACGGAAGAAGGGATATATTCGAAGGAGCATGGTCACGGTGCAGCTTTTCAACTAGGCAGTCCCAGTGGTCGAGAGTTTTTCGACTACACGAAAAATTCTGGCACGTCTACCACGGATCAGGACAAACGAATTCTGGAGACTCTGGAGTCCAGGCTGAACAGCTTCTTGACAGGTGATAGCAGCCGGGGCTTCATGCTGTTCGTTGGCTCGAGAGTGGTATTTGATGGCGAAAACACGTACACCATACGGAAGTCTGGCACCCGAGAGTCCGGGTTCGTGCTGTATGGAGAGTGGCTTTCCGGAACCAATGACAATGGTTCACAATGCATCCTCAAGCTCACTAGCAGTGGTTGCGGCAAGAGTCCAGTGTTCAGCAAAGACACTTTCACGGACAAGCACTTCGGATCTTCTGGAGAAGCGGCAAAAGCCACATCAAGTTCGACACTGTGGACTCTGGATTCTTGACTTGGCTTGGCTTCCATGGAAGTGTAGGCCTTGAGAGAGAGGCTCGTTTTGCTGAATTCGTAATCAGCCACAAAGCAGAGCTCGGGATTCTCGAAGCAGAAGACGAGGCACTCTTCACAGTTGCGCTCGCAGGCAACGATCTCCTGTTCCCGTTTGTGACGAGGAATGCCACTCTATGCGAGAAAAAGTGGCACGAAAATTGACGGGGGAAGAAAACACTGAGTTCGTGGCGGGGAATCCAGTAACTTCCTGCGCGGGTGCAATCTATGAGCACAGGCGACTTAAGTTTCTGAGAGGCGCTTTCGAAGACGTGGACGAAGTGTTCTTGAGAAAAGTCCGAATTGGTGGCAGAATACAGGTCAGAGCTCTCTAACCTGGGGCCTCATGCCCGACAATCACGCTTACTCGCAGCGAGAAAAGATACAACGGCCAAGTCAGAGTTATGTTCAGGCGAAAAGTACCTCAGAACGAGCGCGTGTCGTGGAAAGCAGTCGAGCTCGTACCCGCAAAGGACTTGGAAGCGCAGGCCCAGAAGTTCGAACATCTGATTATTCCGAGGTTCGCTGAGCAGCGGGAATTTTTCGACATGGATTCTTCTCAGTCGGTGCTGATCAAAGTCATCCTCCTCAGGTCAGGCCAGGTGCTCGTTTTCATCAGAGATGTCCTAACTTCCCGTCTGGACATACACCTTATCGGCTACTTTGGAGCACGTTCGACTGGACCGCCGAAGACATTCAACAGAGGAGCCGATCTTCTCGCGTTTGACAAGTCTTTGAGGCTTCTAGCTCTCTGGAACTCGTCAGCTTTATCGATCAAAGTTTTCGGATTGGACGAGTCGTTCCGGGAGTTAACTTCGAACGGAGTGACCATTCAGCTTGGGGGCTATAGGGGCAGCAGAGGCATCACCTGGATGGAGTTTGTACCGGGCAAAGAGGAACTTCTCGTCACTGACGTAACACGCCGGGTTTTTCAAGTGGTGCAGCCTGCCATGATGAAAGCTCGAGTCATCCAACTTCCGCCGTCCTTTTTGGGGCCTTGTTTGACGTCGGACGGGCTCTGCCTGCTTGCAGTGTGCGGAAGTCCTTCAGAAGATGGGGTGGCACTTTCGGCTGAAGTGCATAGGCTAGGCGACAGTTTGGAACATATGCTGGGACTAGCACTCCGAGACGGGAATAACTTCCAGCTCGCGACTTATCCAGCGGCTGGAGGTTGACAAAGGGAAAGACTTCTCGAGCTTGAAGTTTCTCTTCAGCCTTCAGTTCTTTGGAGACGAGGCTGCTCAAATCGAGCCGCAGGGCAGGAAGATGAGTGAAGCAGAGGAGGAATCAGGCTAGCGCAAGAGAGTGCTTTATAGTAACATTGAGTTTATAAGGGATTGGTAGAGATCATCTCAAGAACTTTGGTGGATGAATTGCGGCAGCGCGAGGCAGCGCGAAGAAGGTGGACGGCCGCCAACGCGAGAGTGAAGTGATTCGTGCTGCCAAGGCTGCTGCTGCCCGGAGTAGTCTACCCGGGATTAATCCTTGGAACAAAGGAGAGCAATCATTCCGACCGGAAAACATAGATATGGATGAAGAATTGGTTCTTGAGAACAAGCACAAAAGAGAAAACTTGTAAAAAAATTTCATTTCATAGCGTTTCTTACACATCAAACTTGTTTCCTCTTCTGTTGATCAAGTACTTTTCTATGTTCTTATCGGGCTTCTTGAACAACTTGATCAGGTTGGCAAGCCTCGTCTCCTTGATGGGCTCTTCTTCCTCCTCGGAACGCTTGAGACATCTTCTCAGCCTCTGGAAGAAAAAAAGTCATCCCAAACGAGCGAGCTCTCTGAAGTACCTTCGCATCCAGAGTTGCGGATTTGAGAAGGGGAAGCTTCTCAGAGATGGCAGCGTCTAGAGTCTTGATCGCATCTACAGCCGCGGCCTTCTTCTTCTCCATGTAATCAATCTCTGCAAGAACAAAGATCGAGGCAAGTTTATATACAAACCTTGCAAAGCTCGAGAGAGATGAGCGATGGATGATTCCACACCATACCTGCGGCCAAAGCCTTGCACCGATTTTGGACCTGCGTTAGCGAGTCCTCCATCTTCTGGACCGTGACCGAGGGAGCTTCTCCAATGTTGATCACTCCTGGAGAAGGCTGGAATGGCGACACTGCCGCCGCGGGAGACATAACTCCAGACCGGGGCGGAGTCGTGGTTCCCTCCGGACTCCTCCCGGGGCTCGGAGTCCTGTCCTTCTTGGCCTCGTCCGTGAGAACTCTCACCCGGTCTCGCAGCTGCGAGATAAGCTTCTCGTTGGCGTCCGAGAGCTTGATCCCGACGTCCTCGAAGTTCTTCCCGCAAACGTGGAGGATCCAGTCCACTTCATGGTCGTTTAGCGGCCGCGGCAGCTCCGCCGACGCGTTTGCGAGCTGATCGCTGCGTGGGCTTGTCACGGCACTGCTCCCGGCCGAGGTACTCGCGAAATTGTCACCATCTTTCGGATCGCCATCTCGGGGGCTCGTCTTGGCGCTGCCATCGCAGGAAGAGCCGGCCTTTGGATGGCGGTGGTGCTTCACGTAGAGCCGCCTTGGAGAGGTGGCGGTGATGGCTCCGGCGGATGATCCCTGCTGCTGCTGCTGAGCGCCTTTGTTCTTGGCCTCCACCAAGCTGGAGTTGAGGACGCAGACGCGGTGGTAGAGCTTGGAGACGAGGTCCGAGTCGTGCGCGAGCTGTGCCTCGGCGACTTCCAGTCGCTCCTTGATGATGTCGTGGTTGTCGACGACGTTTGTGGTGGTGCTGGTCGAGGGTGGCGGCGAGTTACTCTTGGATCCGGCTTGCGACTTTGCGGCCTTGTAGTCCTTCTCGAGGCAGCAAACTTTGTCCTTGAGGCCAACCACGGTGGCCGCCGCTTCCTTGAGTCGGGCTTCCACTTCCAACGCCCTCTCTGCCATGCTACATGCTACACAAACTTCACAAATCAGAAAAACCATGGCCTGGAGCGAGAAAAAAACTTGGAAATCTTACTCTACCGTTTCTCAATTGCTGCTAGATCGTCCCTCAGTTGCCGCTTCCTCTCCAAAGATACCTGTGAGAGTGTTTGGTCCTCTTTTCCAAGAAGAGAGAAATTTACCTCGCGCCGCGCACCGTGAAACGCCGAGAGAGTTCCCTCCATCTTCTCCACATTTTCCTTGACCCATCGCAGATCCTCCGCGGCCTTGGCCTTGGCGTGGATGATTCCTTGCGTCTTGTGGTGGAGCTCCGCCTGGTACTCCGCTAGCCTATTCATCCTTAAACCCTAATTTCCTCCCCTTCCACATCTCGATCCACAGCCGTCCGCGAAATTCAAATTCAACGGCTACGATCCGCGGCAATGTCAGAGGTTCGAATCCCATCCTTATTAGGGCTCTTCACTCTGTTTTTAGGGTTCTTCGAGACCTAGTCTGCGCACTTGGAACTCGGACTCTCTGGGCCTGCCCAGTCTAAAAGCCGCTGCTCGCATCCAGGAGGGATTGACAAGATGCTTCCCATTTTCCACTGCCCAACGCGCCCTAGCGCTCTCCGGATCCATCGCCACAACGTGTGTCACGGAATCGTCAATTTCGAGCACACACTCGGCGCCCAGACCCTCGCACAAGATCCACAGCGAATCCTCGCAATCGATGGGCACCACGCTGCTAAACGCGAGCTTGCAGCCCTCGAGGATATGGCTGCGCAGCTCGCTCACGGTGTCTCGCACGTCTTCCAGGAAGGAAAACTCGCCATACTGGAAGAAATCGCGGTGGATCGTCTCGAGCCCTTGCAAGAGGCTCGCCAGGCTCCCGCCGCTGTGGCTCTCGTCAATCCCTCTCCTCGCCAGGCTGGAGCTCTCGTCAAAGCCAAAGCTCTTGCAGCTCGACGAGAAGAAGTGGTAGCGATCGATCTGGATCAAGTTCTTGTGCTGCTCCTCGGGCCAAGCTTCCGGCAAATCATCCACGATCAAGACGCTCGATTCCTGCCCAAGAACAGTGTCCAAGTCTTTCCTGTCGCGATGATCCGTGAGATCGTTGTCATTCCTGGAGACCAGCCCCTTGAAAAGCACTCCAGTGGGATCCAAGAGCTTGAGCATTGCCTCGGCGTAGATCCTCGTTCCCATGGTGTAGACGTAGAGATCGAAGAGCTTGCTCGCTTGGGCCAGGAACTCCAGCGCAAACGGCCGGATCTTCGTCCATAGCTGCAAATCGTCGAGCTTGTGGAGGAGCTTCGATCGCCCTTTGGGTGGATCTCTCGCGTACATGCTCTCCAGGAAGGGCTTCTCCTCGGCGCAAACTTCGTCAAAGCTGGCCGAGTTCACGAGCGTGTGATCTAAGTCGAGCACCAGCATGAGCTTGCGATGCTCGAGTGCCCTCTGGGCTTGTTCTTCCCGGAGCCTCTCGAAACTGCCCTGAGAGATCTGGAATTCCGCAAAGTCCTTGTGGTAGAGCAAGCCCTGTGTAGCATCACCTTCGCCATCGCCACCATCACTCTCAGGTTTTGGCTGGCCACACTGGAAGCAAAGATTCTTTATGAAACCTGGGTGTGGAGGACACTCGCTCCTTTCTCGCTTCCTTGCCATGACCTATATACATAATGACCTAAACTTTGCTTTAACAGATGAAAAGAATTTCCTAGTTAACTTCTGAGAATTTATCTTTTCTTTGGTAAGTTTTACACTGTCACAAAAGGCTGCTTTGATTTGAAACTGCAATCCTTAGCTAGATCACGGTCAGGAGGTGGTGTTTTGCCCGAATGAAGTATAAGATACAACCTATTCTCACTAGGATGGTATATTATTTCATGGTAGTACTAATGATACTATAACAAGTAAGCAAAGCAGTACCTTAAGCTCGTCAAGAACAAGTTGGTTGTGATGAACTCCTTTGCAGACAACTTTAAGATTGATACAGTTGGAGGCGGTGGATATGATCTGCAAGAAAGGCCACTGAATCAAAAATAAAATAAATAAAATAACAAAAACCAATCGTTTACTGTAGCACTCAACAATATCATCCTAAGGGGAAGGCGTGTGATATGCCTACAAAGAAGAGCCTTAGAACTCAATACATCCTATAATCTCAAAGAGAATCAAACCCTTGAGCCTGTTCTGAAGCTTAGTTGGGTAGTTTAAGGGACTCATAGTCACTAAAAGTCTCTCTGTGTGAAGTGCTATCACAATGAGGTAGCACCATCACTATGGCTGGACTCATGAGCATGAGCCATGATATGCACAATAAGAGACACAACCAAGGAAAGGCACCTTGATAAGAGCTATATACTAGAAAGTAGTGCAGCTTCTAAAGCTTCTACTAGTGATTCTATAATTACTTATTTTTATTTTTGGGTTTCTTAAGCAAACCATGGTAGTGGATATATGTTTGAATATTTAAGGATATTCTACCATTTAACGGTTGTTATTCATTTAGATTAATCTTGTATTTATAATTTATAAACTTTTCTAAACACTTCCTAGTATATTCTAGTTTATTCTACCATCTAATGGTTGATATTCAATAAGATTAATTTTGTGTTTATAAATTATAAACTTCCATTTGATCAATTATATTAATAAATATGAACAACATTACTACTAATCAAACCAAGAGTTGCTACATGCAATGTGTAGCAGATTATTGAAACATGTATTTCTAAGAATTTATTGGTGCTAGAGTAAAAAAGGCCATATATATCTCTACACGTTATATAAAGAAAACACTCTAACACATGGAAAACTATACAAAATCCAAAAAACCATATGAGTGGGTTTGTTATGTGATTGTGGGCTAGATATGCAAAAATAAGCCTTGCTAGGATCACCACTTCTACAAATGAATAACAAACCAAAAAATCATAGTTAAATAAAATCATAAATTCAAAGATACAATTATTCTTTTAAACTATATAAATATACTATGTCAGAAATGCTTGGAAAAATATGTAAAATATTATTTTTAGATTTATTTATTTTTAATAATAATTTCCTAATAAAGATATATATAATAGAATAAATCTAAATTAATGTATTCTAACTAGAAATATTATATTTTAATTAATTTAAATTGAAATCATCATACTTATTCAATTAAAAGTGATACTGGCATCAGGGTAAATATTCCACCTGTGCATTTCTGTATTCCATTTTTAGAGTATCCAGTGAAAATATAGAAGATGCTTTTAATTTGATAAACAAATCCATGCCACATAGAATAAACGACCAAGATTCATCTATATCTATATCTTCTCAATCTAATGCAGGGATCAATGCATTGAAAAGCTCAGATTGTGAATTGTCAGTGTTATGAGCTGCTCAAATTGTAGTAGTACCATTATCATCCCCCTCATCAACCTTGAAATCTTTGACAAATTCTTTGAGATTCTCATTTTCCTCACTGAAATCCATGTGGACTTCCTCCCCACATATGCCACATGTGTACTTTGACACATGCCCATCTTTCATGTCTTCCATGAGAGACTCGATCAAGCTCTGGAGCTCACTGTTGACTAGAAACAATTGGTCACTTTTAGGGCTTTGATGCACCAATGCTATGCCTTTCTTGCCACCACCAAACCTGCTTGGCCTCTGCTGCTGCTGCTTCTTGGTTTTCTTTTTGAGGCGTTCCATGTTGACATCATAATCCTTCTTTGGCCTCATGGTGCCACTGTATATGAACTTCTGATGTTTGTTGTCGCAACACTTGTAACGGGGCTAGATGACATAATGATTATTGAAGTAATCAAACTTTGCTTTCTCACCACAGCATGGGCAGAGGGGATGCAACCACTTCAAGTAAGCCTTGAGCTTCTTAACATTCCCAAACGAGATACGAGTTGGCTATGACAAGTCTCAGACTGAGTAGTCCTTGAAATGGTGTAAGTCCTTGACAATCACCTCCCTTTCCCATTTCAAACAATCAAATATCTCAAGAGAAATAGAAATAAAAGTTCTAAATTGCATAATATACTATGGTTGATTCCCACAAACACACAACCATTGATCACAATTCCAAACACCATCCAGCCGTCGAGCTAATCTCCTTTTTGCATTTGGGAAGTCTACTAAAGGAAGAAAACTAGCTAAATGAGAATTTCACTAGACATTCCTGCCAATGCATCCTTTGGAACATTCCATTTGATTGTTGCCAAGCGTATCTTCTACACGAACTGGACGCTCCCGAGAGTTTGTTATTCGACTCGTAAGTCCTGGAAAGAAGTTTGTGTTACATAAAATATTGTTAAAGAACCTGTAAGTTTAGACCATTGCTTCGGTTTGTGAAAGCTTGGTCTTTGCATCTACCAGTAGCTTCAGATTGATGTCGTGTTCCAAATGTCCCAAAGTTGATAGTATCCTGCGAAAGAGGTTTGTGAGAACTACTAAACGGACACTCCTTTGCTTACGTCTCGCGAACGCTTTCAGCTATGCAGCCCGTTCCACCCGATAGAATTGGAAGTAACAACCTGAAGACGAGAGAAAGAGTGAATGAAAAGAGAGAGAGAGAGAGAGAGAGAGAGAGAGAGAGAGAGAAAGAGAGGCAAACAAAGTTCTTCCAGCAAGCTCACCCGTTCAAGATTTCATTCCCGCACGCTGCCCCGGCTATCAGCAACCTGCGAAAGATAAATGGTTGGAGGGAACGCATGATCCAGAACTCTGGGTCTGGTAACATGCTTAGAATGGAATCCGCATGATCCGCCAGTAGTTTATCCGAGGATTCACGTCTGCTTGCTCTTGCTAGATCCCTGAGAACGGATTCCGCCTGTGAAAACCCCGGTTACTCGAAAAGTTGAGGGAATAGCCACTTTCAGTCACCATTTCAGAAGGCTTTCTACTGAATTCGGCAGCCGAAATTGCATGTAGAATTATCCACAGCAAGGCTAATTCATCTTCACAAGAGGCAGCCACCATAGCTTTGCATGACAGAACGATCCCCGAATTCACGTCACTAGACATCAGCTCAGTTCCATGGCAGAAAACAAAATGCTTACCTGTCGATGCTTGTGAGAAGATCTTGCTCTGTCAATGACGAACAGATGTCAGGAACGTGCTTGGCAAGGAGAGAAGATGGGGTCCCGGCCAGAAAACTAGATAAAATCTTTAGCGTCCGCCCTGCGCTCTGTATTGTTGACTGTCCAGAAAGCTCACCACTTAGATGTGGCAGTATAATAGGCAGATAAGCGGATGGATCAACAAAGAATCCAACCACTTTTGCGCACTCCAAGATCTGAAATAGTGGAACAGAAATGGAAGTAAATGAAACAATTTAACTCACGATGACATACCGCCTTTTGCACCACCAAGTCACCACAAGCCTTAATGAAAAGATTGCAGAGTGGTTCAAGATGCATAGTGGCGTTTTCTTCGACAAAAATCAGTACAGTGTACAGGAACCTCGATGATAGTTCTTTCGTTCCACTGGTCCAGGCGTGGAGATCAGCATCTATTGCATAGAGAAGAACGCTAAAACAGTTTCTCACAAGTATCCTGGCTCCCAAACAAGGACGGTCTGAAGAAAATCCATGGTAACTCTAAAGAGCAACACTGAAGAACACAACTTACGCTTGAAAACAGGCGGCAAAGCTTCGCTTCCAATCAAAATGTTTTCAGTGGATTCTTGAAAGTACTGCTTCAAGTCCCTCACCTCATTCTCGTTTTCACTCTCGTACCTGAAACGCATAATTACCTGTCACTCCGAGAAACAGAATAAATCCGGGCTCTTACTTACTGTCGACCAATTTCTTCCATTAGTTGAAAAGCGAGTGCTTGAACCTCCTCGTCTGAGTCATTGAAGCCACTAATGACGTACCTGTTCAAAGAAGAATACGTTCAGGATGAAAGAATGTTGTTGTGAATATAAGACTCTTACGGTACAAGACGGACCTCGTGCTGCTTTCTTTCGTCAAGTTTCATCAACCAGCTCGCAATAACCCAAAGAAGTTCTTTCCGGACAGCTACCGATTTATCCGTTGCCAGTAACGCTAGATATTGTGTCTATGGAACAAAACAATACTTACACCCCGTTAGCTTGAATATGGTGTAAGCTTGCCTTCGTATAGGGATGATAGAATGCTTTTATTGGAACCAGATTGGGATCTTGGTAAGCCGTGAGGTCGTAAATGCTCTCGTGAGCACCGCAAAGAACAAGCCTACATCAAGTATATGTAAGGTGCATTGAAATCAGTTGCAAATTGTTGGTTACCGGTGAACAGCGCCGAGTGCAGCGACACGCACTTTGTAGCGATTGTGTACAAGCAAGCGTAAGATCACGGACACCAGCTGCTTGGCAATTGGCTTGATCTTTTGATCCATGGTATCTGTGAACCGTTCTAGCAAAGTCATGGTTTCCTGCCAAAGGCATGTTAGCAAGAAATAGAGAAAGAGCGTGTGTTTGTACCAGGAGAACTTCCGGGTATGAATCAGTTGCGGTGACCATGATGATAGACGCAACCTCGGACGCGAAGGGATGGATGAGTCGAGGAGCATGGTTGAGTAAGGAGGTTAAGAGCCGAACGAGGAAAAGCCGGACTTCCTCTGATGGCTCTAGTAAAGCTTCTTCTTGTCCATCCTAGAAGTCACAACCAAAGAATATCACCCAAGTTTTCTAATTGAGAAAGACGTTCTCTCTTTTACCTTTAGAAGTTTGTTTCTCAATGGTACCTTGGCCTACCTTCGTTCCAAACTCTACTTCATTGGGAAGAGATCTTAATGGCAAGCGCTCCGACACGACTGGAAGAATGTAAGGCAGCAAACTCACCACACATCCTGGAATAATTTCGAGAAGGCTGAAAAGAAAGAAAACGAACAGTCGATACTGCTAGCGTTGCTAAAGTGCTTACCTGAGAAGGATCGACACAGCTAGACAACGGCATTTCTCCGATGGATCAGCAAACCTCCGCAAGATAGCCTTGATGACGGCATCACTACCTAGCTCCTGAATTTCCTCCTCGCCTCGGGCCCGGACTCCGTGGTCCAGGCGCAAGAGCGCCGCCTTGCGAACGGACACGCTGGGATCGAGCAGACAATTGACATCCCTAGCGATGCCGCTGTCCGCCATGACAAAGAGCCCTAAATTTTAAATACAAGAGCCCTAAGTTTCAAATTCTTCCCACCCAACGAATATCCGGCGATTTAAAAACTAGGGTTTAGGTCCTTCGACGTGTCGAAAGCCCACGGAGTCCACCTGTGCATTGTGGTGGCCGTGTTCTTGCTCCGGCTATGGAGGATCCAATGCTATCAGGCGGCGAAGAAGAAGAAGTACCTCAAGAGCTAGACATCTGTGGATTCGAGGCGAGGACATTCTTCCTATTCTTGCTGACAATGGTGCTAGCGATCGTCATCTTCCTTCTATGGCATAGAAACAGCGAAGTGGCGTTCCAATGGGTGGATTCCAGAGCTCGACTCTTATCACGCTCCAAGGTCAGTAGTAGCGCTTGATCAAATCGTGGTATCCTCGAAGGTAGAACCAAGAGCTTTATACAATAGACCAAGGTGTGTTCTTAGTTACTCACAGTGACCACTCTGGGTGACCGTGGCGTTGGGCTGTGCCAGCCGCTCTTCTTGAACGATTCCTTCTTGGGGAACGTCTCGGTGGCGGCGGCGAGCGAGCTGAGAAAGGTGACCACTTCGTCCGAGGAGTTGAGGCAGTAGCGAGCGAGCGAGCGCTTGGACGCCCCCACCGCGCAGGAGAAGTAGTTCTCGCCCTTGAGATCCAGCACCGACGACCCCTCCCATCTCCCGGCCTCCTCGATCAGCTGCTCCTCCTCACTCCTCTTCCTGTCCGGCGACATGGTGGCCGGGTGGGACTTGGCATGGCGTGAGCTGCCGTGCTTGCTCGAGGATTTGCTCACTCGCTTGTCCTGAAGCTTGCTGCTGAAGACTGCCGCGTCCAGAAACGGGAGCTCTGGCTCGAAAAAGGTGTAGATGTCTTCGTCCTGTGCATTCCAACAAGGAACTATTTTTCTCGAGCTTGAAGAAACGAAGAGCTTACTTTGCTTAAAAAGTGTCCGATGCACATGACATGGTCGATTGGCGAAAGCATGTGCTTGCTGTGCACGATCTCACCGAGGATGCGATCGATCGCGGACCCCTATGGAACACACAGAGAGCTTTGTCAGCTCGATGTTTGCGAGGAAATAAAAAAACATAACAAAGAAAAGCTACAAGGACCTTCGAAACGCCAACAGGACGGACTTCCACTGACTTTCCACCTTGAACAACGTCTACGGCTGCGTTGGAGATTGGTCCTGTCCACAAGTGCTGAAGCATGTCTCTGGCCTGTACTCTGCCAAACTCCACATCTGGAAAGGAAAAGAAGAGAAGAAAGAGAAAAAGTTTTTTGTGAGGCTACGAATCGAGATTGAGAATGCTTGAAAACACTGTACCTGCGTACTTATAGTTCCACACCAATGATGTCTCACGCGTCTCTACAAACGAGCGTGGTGTTCTTTCGCAAAAATATTCAAACACTAGCTGCAACACGGAAAAGAAGAAGCTTTTAAGCTGCTAGTTTTCTTTTCTCGAAGCAAACCTGCACGCTTTCAACCCAATCCATGTTGAGATGCTCAGGCATGGTTGTCATCCACTCTCCTTGTGTGTGGCGAAGAAACATCCCATTCTCTGCTGCCAGCCACATGTCAAACTCGCCAAAGGCCTGCAAAATATCGCGAGTGATCCTATACTCCAATAGAACAGCGAAGTACCTCATCCAATACGGCACGCTCGCTTCCGCTCAGAATTACTATAGTGGTCTTTGGATCAGTGCATAAGACGTTGAACACCTCTTTGAGATTAGGATGCAGACGTATCTTCATCTCTCTAATCTGATCAGGGGCCCTTCCACGTGGAGCTTCAACTTGCGCAGTTAACGTAGAGTTGAATCCCTGGATCGCAGGCAGCCGTCAGTTTATGATGGTGAAATATAGCACTACGTTACCAGAATCATGAGACGATTCTTCGATGCCGAATAGTTAGCGATGGCCTTTTCCGTTGGCAGTTGGGGAGGAATGTGCAGAGTACGCAACTCAGCCTCCAAAATAGAGTCGTTCATTTCACTGGTTGAATAGGTGCGTGAGTTTAAAAAAAGAAAAGAAAAGAGTAGAACTTGCCTCGTAAACGTTTCTGCCCACACCTGAGCACTATGAGTCGTAACGTGCATGAAGTTATGACGATGACGTTCTTCCCTTTCCTCCTCTGGCATGTTCAGTGCTTCCGCAATTGCGTTGGCAGATTCAATGATGTTCCAAGGGTTTATCAGGATGGAGCCAGCACCAAGAGATTGAGCAGCGCCTGCAAACTATAGTTCACCAGCATTCTTAATTAGCACTACTAAGAGAGAACTTACCTCGCTAAGAACAAGAGCGCCTTTCTTGACATTTTGACAAGCCACAAACTCGTAGCTCACAAGGTTCATGCCATCCCGCAGCGAAGTGACAAGCAACACATCTGTTCACACAATAATTGAGCGGATAAAGAAAAACAAAACAGAAAGAGAAAGAACAAATCAAAGAAAAACGCACCGGTGATGGCGTAAAGGGCACACAACTCTGGAAACTTCATTGATCGATCCTGCATTAGACATTTATGGATATCTTCCAAGGCGATGGAATTTAAAACCTTACAAGGTGGTGAATCGGGACCGTCGTAAGAGATCCATAACGACCGTTGATGCGACCAACTATCTCATGCACCTGACTTGCTAGCTTCTGGTCTGCCAAGGAAGAAAGACTTTAGAATGCAAAATACAGAAAAGCAAAAGAGCCATACACTCCAACACGTCCGTCCTCGTCGGAACAGCAATTTGGACCAAAATAACCTTGTCACGCCACTCTGGATTCTCCTCTAAAAACTTTTCGAAGGCAAGCAATTTTTGCGGAATTCCTTTAATCATGTCAAGCCTGTCTACGCCGAGCATAACCTGGTATGCAAAAACACGTAAAAGACTAGTTTCTCGCTGATACAAAGAGTCAAACCTTGCGCCCAGCAAAGCGAGCGCTCAACTCCTGAATATGTTGCTTTACAGCTTCCGTCTCCACGGCGTGAGTGAACCTCTCGGAGTCGATTCCAACAGGGAACTACAAACTTGAAAAATCAGAGCGTCTGAATATAAGGGTAGACGGGCAGTACCGCTGCAACTCGGGTTATCTTTCCTTGATCTTCCACTCCCTCGGGAGTACCTTCCAGGCCCAGTATCCTTGTGCAGGCGCTGACGAAATGCCTTGCATAGTCGTACGTGTGAAATCTACATAACAAGAGCAATGCTCGATGAAAACGTGAAGTTCCATGAATAAACGAGAAAGCTTACCCGACTAAGTCTGCTGCAAGAACTCCCTGGAGCAACTCTGCGCGCAGTGGCAAAGTTCTATAAATTTCGGAGGAAGGAAAAGGCGTATGAAGGAACCATCCCACTTTCATGTGGCTGTTATACTCCTTGAGATAGCTCGGAAGAACCATGAGATGATAATCATGGCACCAAACGAAATCTCCTTCCTGGTAGTTTTTGATGACTGCATCCGCAAACAGCTGGTTAGCACGCTTGTACGCGTTAAATTGCGACTGCAAGCTCCGGGTAGCGGCAAGCCTGTCCTCCTGACGAAGCCCGATGTAGTGAAACAGTGGCCACAAAACGTTGTTGCAGTAGCCATTATAATACTGATCGACCGTGGCCTCATCGAGCAAAACCCCGACAAATCCCTGCAAAGAATTTAACAGAAAGGGAAAAAAAATTCAGTCATCATACAGCAGTGTACAAGAGACCCTTCCGGAAGAAGAAGAACAACAACAAAGAATGCATAGCTAGCTCATTGAATCTAGCAACAAAACGATGAACTCCTCTAATTCACTCACGGAAATTGGAAGACGATACGACTCCTACCAAGAAAGAAATTCGATCCAGCAAAGGCTTACCTTCTCTTCGAGCGCTTGCGCCAGCGACTGACGCCCCACATCGTCTTGGACGTAGACGCCAGGCCAGCCAATCCAGATGACCTGGAACTGCTTCACTCCTGTTCAAAGAGAGCAAATTTAGGGTACTCGCTCCCATTTAAATGCCCTAGGTAGCTAGAAGGAGAGAAGAATGGAAGAACACAACGTACCAAGCAATGCGCTGACAAGCCCTCCAGCACTGACTTCCAAGCTCCATTGTGTGTCCCCCTTCCTCGTCGCCGACACGGGCAATCGATTCGCGACTACGAGCAGGCGCTGCTTCTCGCCCCCTCCCTGATCGGCCGGAAGATCCTCCTGTTGCTGCTGCGATGGCGGCGGATTATCGTCGCGCGCTTGGTGCTCGAGCGAAATATTATCGGCCGGCGGCTGTTCTTGCGGCTGATCCGCGGCGTCGTCCTCGTCGATGGCGTCCTCGGATGCCGATGCGCGCTCGCTCCGCCGCAGCTGCCTCTCGCGGACGAGGCGCTCCACCCGGGAGGAGGCGAGCGAGGGCGGGAGATTGAGATTGGGCGGGACGAATGGCGCCGCCGCCGCCACTGCCGCCTCCTTGCGCCGCGGCTGGGGCTTGCCGACTGGATCATCGTCCTGGGAATTGAGAGGTGGATACTGCGGCATTGGGATCGATCGATCGAAATATTACGGGATCGAATCGAACCCGCGATCAATCGATCGCTATTCGAGGCCGATTTGGCCGATCATCAATCGCTCAATCGCACAGTGCCAGCGCCGCGAGAGAGAGGAGGAAAAAAGAGAGAGAACGCAAGAGCGACGAAGCGATGGCGATGAGAGGAAGCACAAGAAGAAAGAAATCCTAGTAACCAAACCAAACCTCCACGAGTGGGAACGAGCGAGAGCTTTATAGTTTACAGCGAACGGGAAAAAAAGGAAAAGCAGGCGAGGGGTAAAAAAAAAATGGGGAGAGCGCCCAAAAATTTTGCTCCAAGAGCTTCTTCCCAATTTGGGAGCGCATCTCCCAAGGCATATGCCATTATACCGGGCGAGGGTAAAATCTGGAGAGCGATAAAACACCCACGCTCACGGCTGCATTATTACGAGCGCGCGATCGAGAGAAAGAAAGTTGGAGAAAAAGAGGAGAAATTCCTGTGGAGGCAGAAGATTTTTGCCCTCTTTTTTGGGCACCACAGGCATTGTAGATAAGAAGCGTTTGGATTGGATGGGATGGGAAAGCTTGAAGCAAAGACGCAAGCATTTGGTAGCGAGATTTTGTCAAAGGATTTCTAAGCCACGAAATTGCCAAGGGGCGATTTCGTGGCCTCAGAGAGAAGGAAAAAGGGAAATTAGGGCTCAATTATGTGGGGGGGCATGGAATGGAATCATTCGTACGGAAAAAATGGATGGTGGTGCCGTCCTCCAACGGTTTTCCGGGACATCATTCTTTGTGCGCCAAAAAGGAGGTTAAAATAATGCGCTTGCCCTAACCCTAACTCGCCCACGTGGATGGCTCTGGAATATGCCTCTCCTCTGTTTAGCCCTAACGTCGACGAGGAAAAATGCGCTCTCCGGCCGTTCAAAGCGTCAAGGTGGGCGATGGGATTCGCGCTTCCTAGCTAGGGATGGGTCGATCGCCGGGAGCTACGGGGATAATCCTTGTTTCTTGTTTGGCAGAGGGATTTGCAGGAGTTGAAGGCCTCGGATTTCGCGTCCCTTGCGCTGGCGCTCAAGGACGGCAGGATTTCGAGCTTGGAGCTTTCGATTGGCCGCAACGCTGGTAAGCGCCAGTGATTTTTTTTTTGTCTATGATGGAAGATTTTGGTGTTCCTCAGAGCCTCGATTCACCTTTCTCAGTCCCAGACATGCTGACGCCATGTTCAACTTCTCCAGGTCAGTGATTTCTTTCTTTTAGTGTTTTTTTTTTACTTCTTACATTGTTCTTTTCCAGAGCTTTGGCGTGGTCAGTCTCTTCAGGGGGGTGGCTGCAGCATTTGGAGCTTGGATTTTCTTTGTGTAAACGAGACTTACAGCTTCTCGTTCATGCGTTATGTAAGCTAGACTTTTTTCGCGTTTTTCTTGAACTTGGAAAAGGCTTAAAGATGGTCTATGGTTCTTTCAGGCTTGTCCAAGACACTAAAGCATCTGTCTTTTGCAAACAGTGGGCTTGGAGATTCTAACCTTCATCTCCTGGTAAGATGAAAAGAAAGCATTTTGCCTCTGACTAAACACTGATGTTGTTTTCGAGTGATCAAATTACGCAGGCTAGAGGATTTCGTGATTGTGCATCCCTGCAGGTGCTCTGTCTTGCAGGATGCAATCTTACTGATGCTGTAGCTCCAGTTTTGGCGTCTATTCTCAAGGTCTGTGATTTATTTATTCCATTCTATGGTTTTCTTCCTTTTTCTCTATCGTGTTTGGTCATGCGACAGGCGAATCTGTCTCGGAAAATTCAAGAAGATTGGCAAAACAGCCTGCGCGTCTACAGACAAATGCCAGGCCGCAGTGTGAACAGATGCGGGCTGCGGGTTCTCGATCTGTCGTGGAACATCTTAACAGTAGCGTCCGTGAGGGAAATGTGTACGATATTCCGCCTTGGGCCATCCATCGAAGGTAATAAGATATATTCTCCATCATGAGTCCCCAGAATCTGATCTTGTTTGTTGTGGATTTTTGTCTGCCAGCACTGGATGTCAGGGGAAATAATCTGGATCTCGAGAGCCAGAAACTGCTCAACGATGTCATGAGCGAGTGGGGCATTCTAAAGTTCGTTGACCTGAGGGAAAGTGGAAAGTCCTCTCTTTTGGGAGTTCTCGAGAAGGGGCAGTATGCAACAGAATCACGATTTCCCGTCTCCACGAAGTCTCCAACTAGGCACTACAGTCGAAAGTGGAAGAGGAAGAGTTGGCCCTCGAGAAAGGAGCTCACAGGGCAGGGGGTGTGCATAGCAAAAGCAAAGAGAGTATCCGATGCGGAGAGGTACTCATTAGGGACGAGGACAAATTCGCTCTTATCGAACACAAAGCTGGCCTCTCAGTCACTACTTTCTTCACTTGAAACAGCGCCCTTCTCGCCAGTCACACCGGTCACGCCGAGCTCCCTCAACTTGGAGCCGTCAAGTTGGAATCACGATGATCAAGACGGCAACAGGTGTATCTCTTGTAGCACTAGCACTGATGACTTGAGATGGTCAACCGCCGAAAGGCCAGTGGGTTATAGCAGTGACGCGACCAGCACTGATGACTTACAGCACTTCTCATGCGCCCCCGCCCGCAAGTTGGTGGAGTTTAAAGACGACCCGACCTCCACGAAAAGCAACAACGCAGAGTGGAACGGTTTTCTTACTGATATTGGGAAAGCACTTCTCCAGCTCAATGGTGAGTATTTTTTTCTTCTTTATTCTCGCAAACGTTCCTTTTTAAATATTCTCCGTGCTTCCAGATCGTCTAGACAGATTAATCGGGCCGTGTGGAGAATCTGACAATTTGAGGATACAACTGTCAGCGCTTGTTTGAGTAGTCCTTTGCTCTGGAGGGGAAAAAAAAAACACTTACCTGGTTGGTAAATTTTCATCTTCATTCATAAGTTGGTGGATGCAGCATCTTGTTTGAAACCTTTTGTTCTTTCTTTTCCGAAATGCCAGAAGAATCAGGCAAGTCGATTTAGCATCTTATTGTTCTGATCCTTGTCGTTTTCGTTAGGATCTTTCCGGACATCGTATATGACAAGCTGAACGCTTCATCTTCTCTCGTGCATAGTTCTTGGCTTCATCGATCCGAGAAAGAGACTCGTCCAGCTCAGACGGCAAGCCAAATGCTCGTTCTTTGGTCGCTGTCGACGACGGTTTATGCGAGGCTCAAGCCAAAATTATGGAGTCGAAACGAGCTGTTGATCAGCATGTATTTTCGGGGGCGTTTTTCAAGATGCTTGCTTTCCTTGTAGCATCCTTGATGGTCTACCGTTGCAAAGCGGACTATCTTCTTGGAGCGGGGAGCTACGACATAACAGGTCCTGCAGCCGATGTCAACATGATGGGATACGCAAATCCAAAACAGAATGCTGCGGGAATTCATCTCAGGCTAAGATCGAGAGCCTTCATCGTTGCAGAAGCAGGAAACGACGGGAACAGGATCGTCTACGTGAGCCTCGACGCGTGCATGGCCTCGCAAGCTGTGACTACTGCTGTGCTTTCCAAGCTCAAGACAAGGTAATGAGCTAGCTATTGTGAAATGCTCTCTCACTGCTGACTCCAGGTACGGGGATTTGTACACTGAGAAGAATGTGGCATTGAGTGGTATACATACGCATTCAGGACCCGGTGGCTACTTGCAGTACCTCCTGTATAGTATAACATCCCTCGGATTCGTGAAACAGTCATTTGATGCTATTGTTGACGGGGCCGTGGCAAGTATCACTCAAGCTCATAACAACTTGAAGCCCGGTTCGATTTTCGTGAACGAAGGTTATCTTTCAAGTCTGCGTTGAATAGCCTCCTCACACTTTATGTTTGTTTTTTTTTTTTTCCCCTCTTTTTCAGGAGAAATTTTGGATGCTAACATCAACAGAAGCCCCAGTGCTTATTTAAACAACCCTGCCGAAGAAAGAAAGAGATACAAGTACGACGTCGACAAAAGCATGCTTCTTTTGAAGCTTGTAGACGCGCAGCGTGGTCCTGTTGGCACTGTGAACTGGTTTCCTGTCCACTGTACTTCAATGAACAACACGAACACTTTGGTAAGCGGTGACAACAAAGGTGCTGCTTCTCGCTTTATGGAAGACTGGTTTGACCATCGATCAGTGAAGCGGGAGCCTTCAGCCAACACAAGTCGTGTGAGGAGCAAGACTTCTTTTGTGGCCGCTTTTGCCCAGACAAATGAAGGCGACGTATCTCCAAACACTCTAGGTGCCTTCTGTGGCGACACAAATCTACGCTGCGATTTCAACCATAGCACTTGTAACGGTAGCAACGAGTTGTGCATTGCTCGAGGACCAGGGTGAGTTTTTAAGTTTGATGACACTTCTGCGCCTATAGCTTTTGTATTCCAGTTACCCAGACCACTTTGCCAGCACAGAGATTATAGCAACGCGACAGATGGAAAGAGCAATCGAGCTGTTTGCGAATGCAAAAGATTTGCTGAAGGGACCAGTGAATTACAGACAAAGCTACGTAGATTTTACCAACATTAGCATAGCAGCACAGTCGGCGACGACTTGTCCTGCTGCCATGGGATTTAGTTTTGCTGCTGGGACGACAGACGGGCCAGGAGCTTTTGACTTCAAGCAAGGAGACACTGACGTAAGTTGCTGTATTCATTCTCGATTTGGAGCTGACCTGAAATTACAGGGAAATCCATTCTGGAAAGCTGTTCGTGACTTGCTGAGGAAACCAACCGAAAAGCAAGTAGCCTGTCAAAGCCCGAAACCAGTTCTTCTCGACACTGGAGAGATGTTTTTTCCGTATGACTGGGCTGTAAGAAGTTCCAGAATTTATTTTCTTTTGTATTTAAGTGATTCTTGCAGCCAGCGATCCTTCCAATCCAGATCCTCCAAGTTGGCCAACTCTTCATTTTATCAGTTCCTTCTGGTAACACACTTTCCGCTATCAACTCTATAATTGACGACTTTAATTTGTTGTGCCCAGAGTTTACCACCATGGCTGGACGACGCTTGAAAGATGCAGTGAAGGCTACCTTGGTCGAGAAGAGCAACGGAAAGTATGACAAAGAAGTTCGGATTGTTATATCGGGCCTCACGAATGCCTATTCATCCTACGTGACAACTCTTGAGGAGTATCAGATCCAACGCTACGAGGTAACTAACGGATCTTCCTTGTTTCGAGAGGCTTAAGCAAATGTTTTTATAGGGTGCTTCTACGTTGTATGGGCCTCACACACTGAGTGCTTATATTCAAGAGTTTAAGAAGCTAGCCGAGGCACTAGTTCTCGACACTCAAGTTGCCAAAGGACCATCACCACCGGACTTGATCAGCAAGCAAATCTCCTTACTCCCAGAAGTGATCCCAGACACCACTCCAGCCGGCATCAAATTTGGAGACGTCAGCAGAGATGTCGCCAGGAACGCTTCGTTTAGAGCTGGGGACACCGTGGAGGCCACCTTCTGGTCCGGCTCCCCGAGGAACAACCTTATGACGGAGGCAAGCTACACCATGGTGGAGTTCCAAAGTGCTCCAGGCGTTTGGACTCCAGCTTACGACGACGATGACTGGAGCGTCCAGTTCGTGTGGAAGAGACCGTCGGCAACGATCAAATGGAAAGTTCCAAAGGATGCATTGGCAGGGACGTATAGGCTTCGACTCTTTGGCGCCTCCAAAGCTCTCATGGGAAAGATTGACAACTTCACGGGAATCTCCAGTGAATTTGTCATCATATAGTATATACGTGAATTTGTAACAGCTTACTAAAGGTCAGTGTTATACAATTTAAAACTCTTATTTTTATTTCTCTTGAGATTTTTTATTGTCAAGCAACTCAAGTGATCATTAACAACTTGCACCATCTCAAAAGATTACCCAGTCTGAGACTCTTCAACTTCACAGCCGGTTCATGTCTCATTTGGGAGTAATGAGGATTAATTGAAGCAACAGCACTGCTATTAACAAGGAAAGTTTGAGAAATTCAACAATCATAAAATTATCTAGCCCTGTTACAACATAAATTCACACACGGTTGCACTACAAACGCCAAGAAAAATTGTAATGTCGGCATGAAACACCCACCAAGCAACAGCAGCAACAACAAGGGCTTAATGGCTAAAGTTCCCTGGTCGTTGCTAGGGCTTTGACAGCGATAGAACTTTGCTAAAAATAAATTCCTTTATCTCTCTCTAGGATGATAGAGTTTGCATACTGGGATACTAATATGTTTATGCATTGTTTATATACCTCCAATGCTTTTGTATGTTTTATTTTTCTTTCCAATAAAAAGATTCATGCTCTATTAAATTGGGTGCTGGGAATTCTCAGGTGTATCTTGGCAGCAGTACTTGGTGAGGTGCAAGGTCAAGATTTGGAACTCGAGGAGGAAATCGAACAAGAAACCACAGGATAAAAAAAGCAAGCGATGATGGCTTCCAGGGATGAGGTGAGGAAGATCAGGTGTAAGACTACCTGGATCTCCACCATCCAGGAGTTCCAACCAAAGTTTATCCTCAAAAAGCAACGTGTACTCAATCCCAATCAGTTCATAATTGCTGTGACAACAGAGATGATGTTTGTAGTGCTGACAGCTTTGGAGAATGTAGTGAAGTATTTGGAGATAAGCACTCCTCCATCAGACCTCCCACACTTGAAACAACAAGCTTTGCAGTGGCAGACCCGAGACTATTGCCTCCTCAACAGCACACTATACCGTCATATTGCTCAGGGCCTTCTTCTCCGATGTGTCATAGCGACTGAGATTCTTGCTCTACTCCAAAGCTTTTCACATAATAGCACAACTCCTTCTACATGGCAACTTCTGGCCAACAATCCACAAGGACACCAAGGAGTATGCACAACAGGGTCTATAATGCCAACAACACAACCCTCGGAGCAGCATCCCATGTCTTTCTCAAGTCCATTCTTCAGGTGGGGCTTGGATTTTTTCAGCCCAACATCTCCTCCCAGCTCCATTGGATATTGTTAGCTCCTCATTGCAATAGATTACTTCACCAAATGGATTGAGGCTGTTCCCCTCAGATGTGTAGATTAGTACTCAACAACAACGAGCACATCGTGTGTCACTTTGGCATCCCCACAGAGCTCATCTTTGACAAAGGTGGAGGATTTCTAAAGCCAGGTCGTTCAACACCTTCTCCAGCTCTTGAAGATTCAACATGTCCATAGTAGCAGCTATTTTCCTCAATCCAATGGACAGGCTGAATCCAACAAGAAGATCATGAAGGTACTGCTAGCAAAGTTGGTGAACAGACATCCTCAGAGATGGCACAAACATCTCTGCACAGTACTCTGGGCATTTAAGACAATGTACAAGACATTAGTTGCAACAACACCATTCTCTTTGGTGTATGGGATAGAAGCTATACTCCCCATTGAGCTTCAAGTTCTCTCTTCATCATGAGGCAGTGTTTGGGATGATGGAGGACATACTACAGGCCTAAGCATGGGAGATTCTAGCTCTGGAAGAACAACTTCAGACATCTACAAGACATGCCCAATGCACCAAACTCAAACTCAAGACATAACAAGACCTGTTGTGCCAGCCCATTCTAACATGGCGACTTAGTGAGGCTCTAGAGCCACACTCCAACTTTCAAGTTTTCACCACTATGGACTGGTCCATTCTTTTATGACATGGCACATTGGCAGGGGTGCTTATGTTCTCTCAAATGAAAATGGTGTCAAGCTCCAATATGCATAAGATCACCACTTCCTCAAACACTTCACATGGTGACTCTTTTCTTTATTTTCTTTTCTTTTTTTCTTTCCTTTTCATTATTTCACTTTTCTTTGTAATTTCCAGGACCCTACCCACTGTGAAGAAGTCTCTTTCTTGGATCCCAATTCTCGAGGTGGCATTAATCTCTTTCGTCTGGGACCTCAAGGTTTACCAAGCTATGCATCACTCCTTTTTTCTCCTTACTCTATATCACATTCTCCAACATCCCACTCTCACCACTCTGATTCACTCATAACCATCTTTCACAGTCACAATCACTTCCTACACTATTGTCTATCTTTTGTTACATTTGCCCAGTTCACATTTTCATCCATATCTTGCCATGCACACTATAGTTTTAGGACTTTTAACCATCACTATATTGGGACAGATCATAAAAAGCTTCCAGCAGAGTTTCAACAAGTTTGAACATACGAAAGTCAAGTTACAAAGTGGATCAACAAAAATAGATAACCACCATAAATCTCAACTCTAGAAGCTGATTTCTCCCAGCTGGTTGGACCTGATGCACACACCAAAACTCAGGCATGGTGGATGGATGGTGTACCCACCACCTCATACTTTAGCACCAAAAAGGAGCAATAAAATTTTACTATCAATTGCAACAATTGTGGTCACATGCACGAAGCACTCCAACACCACAGCTACTAGTCCTGACATCCACACCTTTTTCTTATCCAAATCCCTGACACACATCTCTCTCATTTTTCCATTGTATGCTTGGGTGACTTGAGGAACTTCTTGAAGGCTTGAGAACCCATAAGGTTGTGGTCCAAGGGAGTGCTTCTTCCTCTAACTTTGATTTTCCATTCTCTTCTCTATATTGATCACTGTTTTCACAACTTTCATATCATTTTCTTTGGTTTTCTCTCCTTTTTCTTTATGGACTTGGGTTCAGTTTGCACTTACAGTTTTCCCCATGTGGTTTTCCCTATGACTCCAAACTCTATCCTTCTTCCATTTCCTTTGTTTCTTTTCTTTATTTTGGTTTCTCCAGTTTCTATAGTTCTCTAATATAGGCATTGCATCAGACATTTGAAGGCTGAGAGCTTCTCTTCATGCAGCAAGCATGCCCGATCCACTGTGGTCACCTATTGGGATGCAGCCATTAGCCACCTGAGAGAGAGCGAGAGATCTAGAGAATATTCTAATTTCTGGAATATTCTTATGCACTGTATAAAAGCCAGGGAGAAGAGATGGAGTTTTGGAGATACATCTAAAGCATGAGATGAGTAAAGTGTTGAGCATCTAGGCATAGTTAGGGATCCCCCACTACTCAACATACAAAAGAAATTATGAATATCATACACTGTCAAAGGTATAAGTCAGTCAACTATAACTTGGATCTTTGTAGGATCAGCTCTCACACTATACACTAAAGTCAAATATTCAAAATATCCAATCTCTTCCAAGAAAAACTCATACTTGGATAACTTTAAATAGAGTTTGTTATTCTTTAAAAGTTGCAAAACACTTCACATATACATCTCATGTTCCTCCACTATAGAGTTAAACACTAAGATATTATCAAAATAATTAATTATAAATTTCCCCAAGTAAAGCTGTAAAACTTAACTTCTAAAAAGTCAAAAGAGCATTTGTCAAACCAAATAGCATCACTAAAAACTCATATTGACCTGTCATCATGTGAATTGTGGTCTTCAAACATCTTCTGACTTTACACAAATTTGATAATACTTTACCTTAAATCAATTTTTGTAAAATACTAAGCACCATAAAGACGATTGAGAAAATAAGACTTTTTGGTCTACCCTAGTGGTGATAGTTAAGAAGAAAGATGCTACATAGCATCTTTATAACTACAAGGGATTAAATGGTAGGATAGTGAAAAATATATTCCCATCATGTCAATTAAAAAGTCTATCTTATCTGAAGGTATTCAACAAGTTATCCTCAAATTTAGCAGGATTAGTATGAGTTAGCTGTTGATGATAAGGAGTAGCTCCAAGAACCAAGTCAATCTTATATTGAATCCCATGCTCTGAGGGCAAATCATCAAGTAACTCATCCAGCATTACAAAACTCCTCCTAAATGTAGTTCATATGAGCCCTATGTCCATAAATATACTCCAAATCAAACATGACTATATTAGAAAAAAATGGGTATACCATGCTTCACTAACTCCAAATCAATGGAGTATCATTATTGTTTGTCCTAACAATTTCTTTCACAAGGCACCAACCTCAATATGTAGAACATTGCACTCTCAATCAATCCTTAGTTTCTTGTTATAAAACCATTCCTTCCTAAGAAGAACATCTATACGAAGAACATTTGGAGTTTATTCACCATAAACATGAATGCTATGTTGTAGATTACCAAATTCTTTTTCATAAATAAACTAAATTTTTATATCACCTTGGAGCTAAAAAAAAGTTGTGAATAGCACTTGGATGAAAAAGAATGCCAATCTCATTACCCTAAATGTCTTTTTTAGCTTTCATAAGTTGATTGCATACAAAACCATTGAACTTTAGAGAGTTCATATGAACTTAAGACTTTGGTTCTTAAACTTTTGCCATGAGATGTGGAAAAGCAGGAAACTCTTGAGTTGTATCTATAATGAATTTTATATTCCCCTTAACACCTTCATAAAAAGATAGTCTTTGCCATGATGTTCAAAACTTTATGGCAATAAAAACAATTACACTTCATCTTATTTTCTTCTATTGGTCCAAATAAAGCTTTTAGCTTCATTGCTATCTCTATTTTTCAAGCTCCAACGCAATAATGGTTGCTTTTTCCCTGAATATGAAGCATTGGCTAACTAATCATCACTTTGACTTCCCTGTTGACTATTTTGTTGACTATAGTTGACCAAGTTGACTAGTGATTTTGGCAAAAAGGTCTATTGTCAATGTTACTAGAATATCCTTCTTAACTTTCTTTAAGAACTCATTATAGATGCTGTAAGACTAAAGTAAAGATCATGAAAGTTGTGGGATATGCATCCCTCTACTTGATCTTTAGCAACTAGTAAACCTTTTTAAACTTCTTGATAAATAAAGTGTGGAAAACCTT